TAGGCTTGTCTCCTGTTGTTTCTTCGTAATCTTTGCTATAACTGTATTAGCTACCTTTGTAATTACGTAGCTTGCCTAGTTGTAGATTGCTTTTAGTCCTCTAAGGAGTTCTAAGATTATCATCCTATATACCCTCTTAGGGATTCTTCTATCTTCCGCCTTTAGTACCTCCTCTGCCCTAGTATATAGTACTTTCTATTCGTCCTCCCTTCCTTCTTAACTATCCTCCCTTCGTCTCTAATTGTTCGCTGCTATTTTTTCTCTTTTGCTAATATCTTCTATATAGGTAAGCTATTTAGTTATTTTATTTAGTACTTAGCTAAGTTTTTCTAAAATTCTATATAAATCCTTTCTAAATTCTTTCTATTCTATTTTCTTTATATTCTATTCGTATTAGCTACTATAATTATTTTTTATTATCCAAATAGTTAATAGTCTCTAAGTCTAGTTAGAGAAAGTCTTAGTAATTAGCTAATGTAATTTTTAAATATAGCTAATCTACTAGCTAATTAGTTATTTTAGTATTTAGCTAAACTATTTCTAAAATTCTATCCGAATCCTATCTTAATCCTATCTAATTCCTATCCGATTCCTATCCGATTCCTATCCGATTCCTTTCTAAAATCTTTCTAAGTCCTTTCTAAATTCTATTTTAATCCTAGTCGAATTCTTTTCGAGTCCTATTAAATTAAATCTTATTCGAATCTAATTCGAATCCTATTTATTTAGATTTAATTTGTATTTAATCAAGTTCTATTCGAATTTTATTTAATTTCTATCTAAATCTATTTTCAAAACTCCTCTAGATTTTTAAAATTCTATTCTATTTACTTTCTATTCTATTTATATTCTATCTATATTCTTTTTATATTCTATTTATATTCTATTTATACTAGCTACTATAATTATTTTTTATTATTAAAATAGTAGTTAATAGTCTCTAACTCTAATTAGAGAGAATCTTAGCAATTAGCTAATATAATTTTAAAATATAGCTAATTTAGTAGGTAGCTAAACTATTTATAAATTCTATTTAATTCTTATCCGATTCCTATCCGATTTCTTTCTTAACCGTTTTTTTAAAAATACTATATTAACTCTATTTAAATTCTATTTAATCCCTATCTAAATCCTTTCCGAATCCTTTCCGAATCCTTTCCAAATCCTTTCCGAATCCTTTCCGAATCCTTTCTAAATCTATTCCGAATTCTTTCCGATTCCTAACCGATTCCTTTCTAAATTGTTTTTTTAAAAATACTATATTAACTCTATTTAAATTCTATTTAATTCCTATCCGAATCCTTTCCGAATCCTTTCTAAATCCTTTCCGATTTCTTTCTAAATCCTTTTAAAAAATCTTTACCCTTTAGTAATATTATAGAAGTAAGATAATTTATTTCTTATAAAAGTTTTATTTAAATTCTATTAGAACTATAATAAACTTACTAAATGGTTTCGCATTCCAATTAGATTTAGCCTCGGCTAACCCCCTGTTATTTTAGAGTTCCTGACCACCGCGGTGGTCAGCTCGGCGATTTTGGTAGTCAGACCGGCGCTGCTCTCCTTATCCGGGGTTGCGTTAGCCCACTTCACCCCTCGCCCTAGCTCGGGGATTTAAGCCATACGTAAAATCGCACTTTCCTAGTAGGCTATACGTAAAACTCGACACTACGGTATATTGTAGAGCATATAAGCCGGGAAATTGATGGTGAGTGCGATTACGGTTAAGAAGAAGGCATATTGCGACCGTGTGTGTCAAATTAGACTATATAGACCTGCTGTTTAGACCTGCTGTTGCTACGCTATTGACGACCTTCGCGTATACGCCGCGCTAACTATATAATCGACCACTTTATAAGTCGGTCTATATGTCCTTGTTTCCACCTCTTGTTAGCTGTATTGAGTGTCTTCTTCTAGCTTAATGGGGTTGTCCTTATAGCTAGCGACCTCGCCTCGATAACGGCTAGTTTTCTTCGGAGGCTCGTAGAAATAGCGCTTCCGCTATACCGACTCGTAACGACGGCGAGGGTGTATTAAATGAGGCCAAAGTGTAGTGTATAGACCTTTATTAAGTACCGCCTTATCTTGTTATAACTAGTCGAGTCGAGTATTAGGCTCTTGCGCGAATAGGCCGTTCAATCGTCGCTTAGGCTTAACGTTAGTCTACGTTAGAAGGTCGCTTTCGTCGTGATTACAAGTGCGGCTCGGCAGAGACAGTGTTATTGTCGGACTCTAGGTATAGGTAATGTCGCCGCCCTCACTCGTTGCAGTATAGCGCTTATAATCGCTAAGAATGTTGGCGTACGGATTACTAGTCTTCTTTAAGGTAGAGGTGTTGTCGGAAGTGAGAAGGCGCTTATCGAAGACACGTTGTAGTAGCTTATCGATAGGTTGTAATTGAACGTCTAACCACTTAGTCTTGCTATTGTTATTGAAGACAACACGGAAGGCCTTACTACACTTCAATCGATAGGTGCGCGCCTTGTTATAGGCCCCCTTAGCCTCGCGGAGCATCTTCTAGTATCTATTATTAGCTAGGTCCTTATCTTGCTAAGTGAGTTGTGAGCGCAATTTATTAGCCTCGATAGCACCTGCTCGAATGAGCCGATTAGGCTGTTCCTTCTGCCGCTTCTTTGCTCGTTTAACAACGCTCGTAGACTAGTATTTACGCTTGTATTCTTCACCCTTATAGATGGCCGCATCAACTAATATATTATACGCCTCTTCTGCTTGTTTTGTAGGTAACGAGGAAAACGGGTTGAATGATAGTAATATACCCTGCGGGGCTGTCTTTAGATAAGAACGTCGGAAGGCCTTGCGGGCTTCTATAGCACTGCGAGACGCCTTAATCGTACGAGGGCTAGTCGTGGTATTAAGGAGCTATTGTAGCAATTCGGGGGTCGGTGTTCGCTAAGGCGGTAGAGGCGGTAATAATAGCAGACCTTAAGCAATTAGGTTTTCGAGATCCCTAATATAGTAGCGACGGTTAGCGAGATACTAGCCTTCCGGATCGATAATAGTAGGCTTAGTAGAACGTTCTTCCTCAACCGACGCGATATGCTCCTGCTAAGCCGCCTCCGCTATTGCTAGTAATTCCTTATGCCGGGCCTCCTCCTATACCAATTCGCCCTTAATTACTTGCTAGTTCCAGTTATAGTTAGTAGCTCTATACTGATCTCGAATATGCTTATAAGGAACCTCCCTATTGAGTGGGAATATGCTAGTCTTCCGGAATGCCGACCTTATGTTATAGGAGGTGAATGTTTTAGCCCGAATAGCTAAGAGGGCCTCGACAAACTTAGGTATTCTAAACTCGCTAACTCTACGGTATGTAGCGTCCAATACCGCTTGCCTATACCTCAACTTATATACCTAGAAGAGGACAACATCTAAAGGCTGCATAAAGTGTAAGGTGTGTGGTTGTAGGCCCTATAATTGGATCTTATGTCGCTTTGTAAAGGCTACAAACTCCTTGAAGCAATAAGAGCCGTAGTTGTCGCATAGGAGCACCCTCTATTCTTCTAGATCTTTAGGCCTCGTCTTCCGCTTAAACTAGCGGATATAGTGCATTGCGGTGTCGTCAGTTATATAGCCAGACTTATTAATAGTGATCAAGAAGTTGTCCTTACCTAAGAACGAGGGCGTTAGTTAGCAAGCGAGTAACGTTGTTATTGCCTTAGGCAGTTGCCTTACCTTCTTTTAGCACCTACCGCTCTTAAACTATTACACCTTTGACAATCAACTAATAATCTATTACCTTACCGAAGGCGTTAACGGTCTCGACGACAGTTACGTGCGTACGGTTACTGTTACACTCGGTCTAGGCGCGCCGCTTCGTGTCTATTGTAACGATATACTTATTGCTACCAATTCCAATCCGGAAGCTAGTCTCGTCGAAATTCTATAGGTTCCGCGGCTTTATACTAAGTCGCCTTATTATAGCCTCGAAGCGGTTAAACTAGCCCCTTATCGTCGAAGGGTCGTAAGCCTCTTTACGCTATACCTCGATAGGTTTGGACTTGACTTTACTAAGTCTATAGCGCTTAAGAAAGCGGTCCGCCCAATCTACGCTAAATAGTAGTATTGTATCCCTCGAAACCCCTTCTAGTAGCAGGCTTACTAGCATCTCTATCGCTATAGTAGCGATTAACGCTACCGGTAGGAATATGCCTATTGCGTCCCTCTCTCGATAATAATCCGCTAGAGCTAGCTCTTGAGACTTATCTAGCTTAGTGTTCGTCTAAGGACGATTGAATAGCGATCTACGGCCCCTTAACCGCTAGTAAATACGATAATATAGGCTAGTTGCTTTCTCACTCTTATAAAGCGCTCGAATACTAACCTTCTTATTATCCGATTTAGCCTCTAACTCGCGGTACCTCGAAACGACTCGATCTACTACCCTCTCTGCCCTCTCCGTCTTAGTTAACCGCTCGGCTCGCACCCTCTTTACGTTTTTACCCTTATTACGCCCTATACCGAGTTTTGTATACGATCCGTATAGTGAAACATAAGAAACAGGAGGAATATACGCTTTAGAATAAGGTGGACGCGCCTGCCAAGGATTACATAAGAAATAGCGACAGTGAGGTCTACAGCTACTACACACTCGGATAACCTTACTAATACGATATTTAGACTCGCGGTTCAATACTGTATAGACCTAGATACCTATATAGGACTGGAACATCGACAGTATCGAGTTTTACGTATGGCCTACTAGGAAAAGGCGATTTTACGTATGGCTTAAACCCCCGCGGTAGCGGGTGTGAAGTGACTGACGAAACCCCGGATATTATGGATTAGGCTCGGGCGGAAAGTGGCGAGGTGCAGAGTGCAGAACGAAACACTGCCAAGACGAACATTCCTTAGCGCAGGATGTAGCATGTCCAATGATCGATCGTGCTTGTGATTTGATCTGGTCAAAGGAGGCTCCACTGGCACTCAGAGCAGGCAGCCTCCACTCTACGGAGCTATTCTAGCAGGAAACACCTCCACCTTCACATGAGCGGGTGGAACCAGTGCATCATGTCAGAAACGACTCCACCTCCGCTATGAATCATGATATGCAATGACTTCAACGCGCACATAACGAGATATAGGGCAACACAGACGGTCGGCAATCCTACTGCCACGAGCTTCAGATATGCCACACAAGCACGCTGAGCCAAGGAAAACAGCACGACCATGGTCCATGTCTATCTTGCCCATGCTATGAGAGTATCCAAGGCGGAACCAGTGATTGCCATTCACTCCAGAGCCTTGTGATATGAAGGGCGGACTTCTCCTTCCTCACAGTCGACCTCTCGGACGGACGGCTAATCATCTCGCAAAGGGTGCATCGGCGGCGGTTCTCTTTGCTCATCTTCTGCCCGTCAAACCACAATTCAAAGCGCAGGTCAGCCGGTCCGATGACCACCTGCACCTGGAAGTCGACCACCAGATGATGTTCTCCACGTTGCCAGAATCTCTTATTCTTCTCCTTGAAGCGTTTCTCCTCTGCTAAGGAGAGGTCGGCCTCAACCTCGCAAAGGTGCTCAGCGCTGTCATCCAGAACGTACGGAAGCAGATCTTTCTCCACATGAGATACCACGATCTTGGTTGCAAAGACCTTTCTTGGATCACCAGGAGCTACCTTGCGCTTGAAATCGTGGACAATTGGATGGTCCATGGAAACTGGACTGCCCTTCTTCACGAACCAGGCTATGCAATTGTTCACGTACATCTTGCCATCTCGCGCGTCGATCGTGGCCCTCCGCTCGTGGTGCTTCACATTCTCAGGGTCAAAGACCTCTTTGCATAACAGCCCGTAAGAAGCTCTGCAGCAGCGCCAACTGAGGACACCCTGGCCTGCTTTGAGCTTCCGAAGTCGATCAGCGACCAGGCCTTTGCAGACTGCCAATTGGGGATCAGGAGCAACTCGAATTTGCATGCCTTTGGTGTTGCTGAAATGCCCGGACGGCATGCGATAGTGCTCAATCAATCTTTGTTGTACGTACGGTGATTGGCCAAGACCACCAGACAGTATCAGGTGGCTTATTTGCCTCTCTGGGAGTCTGTCTTGGAGTGTATGAAGCTGTCTATCAATCACTCTGAACAGCTTGTCGATTTGGTGGTCAAATAGACCACGCAGCTCTTCTTTATCGAAGTGCATCTCGCCACGACTGATTCTAGCCTCCTCGCTCACGCAATTGAGATGAAGGTGCTGGACTGGAACAGAAAAGCGCGGTGGCTCATAAGACGAGCCATGTTCACACTTGACATTTTGGAAGTCGCGGCCCTTGGCCATCTCCCAAGCTGCTTCTTCAGGGTCGATACCAAACCTCGTTGCCGAGTTCGCGAGCTTCAACTTTGCTTCAACTTGCTTCTGGAACTCAAAATCGATGCCGACAGAGCCAATATTTTCACCGCCGACGATGTCGACTTGCCTCAGCTGCTTTAGCAAAAGCACGTCAGTCATAGTTTCTGTGACCTCCAGTGCAGAGAGATCGGTGGTTCCGCCTCCTGCATCGCACACCACGAGAATATCGCCTTCCCTGAAGTGGCTCGCAGCTTCCGTGGACATGTGCACTGCAGCTGCCTCGGCCTCAGTCAAGCTCATGATGACTGAATGCTGTGCATTTGTGGGACCTCCAAAACCAGACTGTCCGATAATCCCTCGGAACGTTTCGACGACTTGCGGACTCCATGTTGTGGGGATACTGAATAAGAACTCGATCTGCGCGGCCGACCATGCGAAGTTCGGAAGTTCTGACGAGAGCTTTTGCTCGATGTGGTCGTACAGCCTCCTCAAGAAGTCACGATACCAGTGTCGAACGTCCTGCTGCGTGGTCACCAGATCCGGATCACGCTTGCGCATGGTATCGAGGTTCTTCGGGTCAAGCAATGTTTTGAACCAGTCCCGAAGCTGACCATAATTTGGATCTTGCTCCGAAGGCTTTTCACAGCCAAAGCCCCACGAGGACGGTCGATCGCCACCATGCGGATAGACAAGAACTGTGGGAACTTTGTTCTCATTTGCCTGCGCTCGGCCTGGCCATCTTTGGATCCATCTAATGTTATCGCCTTGATGCGGCAAGGCATATCCAACGCCAGTGCATGTTTGGCCTAGATCGATGCCGATGAGCAGATCTGGCTTCCGTGTTGTGCCTGACATATCTGACAGTCAGGTCTGAACTGGTAGCACAGGTGCATCAGGTCAGCCTAATCAATTCGGTGAAAGACCACGGCCAACGCCAAAATACAGCTCCAGGAAGGATGAGTCTAGTCTTCCGCAGAAAAATCGTCTTAATCTCAAGCCCACTATGAAGGGACTTGCGACACTCTGGAAAATCCGCCATACCCTTAGTCGGGCGACTGGAGCAGAGACCCTTCGCCTGCAACATTGCAGCGCTCATATGAGGGGAGAATGTGCCGCAACGATGCAAGTGGTCGCTTAGCCATTGAAAGTCGGACCATCGGCTTGCGCTATCGCAATTGCAAATCGAGACCAAATTGATTGCGTCGCACAATGTAGCGTACCGTTCGGCTGTGCACACCAGCGCTGGCGAGCACAGCAAACCACCTTTTCAGAAGGCACGGCTACAGACATGCTGCGCCAACGTACGAACACAAGTTGTGCAACACATCATTAGACCGTTGTCTCCAGATGTTCTAAACTTATGCATCACTGGTTTCACTTGAAGTTGGGTGTACACCTTGTGGACAGCCACGGCAAATAGCTGGCTCAGTGACCTGGTGCTCATACAGATCCTGCTCGGCGGCAGATCGCTCGTTGGCGATTGTGCCAGCCTGTGACAGTTGTCTCGAAGCTGGCAGGGAATGGGTCGCCAGAACCATTCCAATTTTTTCACATTCTTTGCATTGCACTCTAACACCCTCAAGTGGTTCAAAGGCTTCGGCAAATTCCGTGGGCATGTCGGTCTCAAAAACAATATACTACCCTGTCAATTTCACAATTCCATACCGTTGTCATCAGCTTACGAGTCAATCCGTGGTTACTACAACAACATGGTTAAATGCCTGGAACGATCCGGTCAAAATTAATTATACTTTCACAAATTTGCTCGCGTCGCCAAAGACAACAGCCTTTTACACCAGCTTTGCCTTCGAAAAGGATGTGGCTGAGACCAGTCTCGGCACAAGTTTGCAAAACATTATCGATCCATCGGACGCATTTGCTGCTTGGAATGTTACAGCAACATCAAATGCGAATGGAACAGCACCAGTCTCGCGCGAACAGGAAAGCCAAATATCGATGGGAGAAGCAGTTGGAATAGGCATCGGATGTGCTGCTGTTGGCGCTTTGCTGGTCTCTCTCATTGCTTGCCTGCTATATCACCGGCGCTCGAGGCGAAAAGGCTACAGCACGGCAGCACTTTCTGTGTCTTCAGGCTCCGCAAATGAGTCCGACAAAATTTCCACAATACATGTACCACTCTCGAATAGTCCATTGACTATATTGAGCTCAGAACTGCCGCCACCGGAGGCCGACAGGACTATCATAGCCAATGTGTCGAAACTGGCCACCTTAATCAAGAACCATGCGCAAAGTTTCTATGCTCACACCACGACGGTCGAGTTCTCCGGAGACGCTTTGCCGGTGCTGGAAACGTTATTACACAATTGCACAGATATAAAAGCGCAGGACTTGATCACTATGCTATCGAACTCTGATACTCGCGTGGGAGCAGTCAGATTCTTGTTGGCATGGTCCATTCTCTCAAATGTTGGGTATAAGTCGCAAGTCGACCACACGCTTCTCCCTCCAGCACTCGCAGAATGTCTGTGTGCCATGAATCTCGAGACCCAATCCTCTTCAGGTGAGTGTGCAGGAACGAGGACAAGCTGCCGACAACGATGGCTCACATGTCTTAGCACTTCTGAGCCAATGGCGCCACGTCACCGGCGCTCTTATACCGCCTTCAAAAACCATGTCATCAGACGATCCTCGTCAATTCAACATCTCACAGCTAGCCAGAGATGTGAACGACGTGCTTCGCTCCTTCGCCTCGCCAGACGACATAGGACGTTTTGCCAACATGACTGAGATTCTCAGACAAGGTGCATATGTTGGCTACGTGACTTTGGTACAACCTACGACGTGGGCGTTTGAATGGGAGGATGAGGCTGATGGTAGGCATGCAAATGAGCTGGTGGTGTTCCCGGCTCTGGTACAAATAAGTGATGAGCATGGCAGGCCGCGGAATAAGGCTCTGCGTAGCATGGATAAGCAGAGCGTTCCTAGAGCCAGGTAGTGGATGCACGACGCGATGTTAGTATCTCCCGCGAGTTTCCCAGTCGAGTTTGTACATAATGCGGACCACATGTAGAATTGGTTTCTTTGCCTACTCGTCACTAAGTTTGCACATGCGAAGGGTTGCATATATATCCGCTACCAAGTCTTCGACAACCCAAATTCTGCTTGGACGTCACTTCCCTCAGACTTGAGAGTGATCCTTCTAATCTGGAGTATGCTGTAGGTGGCCCTTGGATCTCCGGGCGCAAGACATTGCGTAAATCTCTACTCTGGATCATCATCTTCCGTCACCGGTGTTGTAACAGTCGCTCTCTCGGGGCCTTTCTTCTTGTCGCCTCGCTCCTCGAGGATATCAGTTTCTATGCTTTACATGAGTCACCAGTATATGCATAAGGTATGGATGGATGCATGAACTCACCGGATTTTGATGAGAACGCAGTCGTGCAGGCGGAACGGGCCTTGTACTCTCATTGTTGATGTCATGAGTATGAGGCGTCGCACGCTGCCTCCTTGGATCTGTTCCCGACGAAGGGTCGAAGGCATGGGCATTGATTGACGTTGACGTTGTCCTTTGAGTTTGATTCACTGATTCGGCAGCTTGGCTCCGTCTCGAGTGAAGACTGCCCCGATCAGTGTTATTCGTCTCATTGGATAGACTGTGGTCAGCGTAGCCCTCTACCTCCTTGGGCTTAGGCAAATACCGATCTTGCTCTGCCATGAAACGTGTTTCTTGTCTGTTTTGTCGGTATGACTTTGTTTGATCATCGAAGAACATAGTTGCCGAGGTCGTGATGCTCGAGGCTTCCATAAAAGTCTCCTCTTCCGTGCTCGCGTTTCCTGATTCCAGCATCGATGGTTCTTCGAGAATCGTCGATAGCGTAGCATTCCGTTCAGACTTCTCAAACGTACCGCTTGGTGGGTTTGAAGTTGCTGTCTGCTGGCTTTCTGAGCTGTCTACGGTGGAAAAACTCGAGACATCCTCATCAAGGTTTGCCTCTTGGTCCTCTGATATCTGGTCGCTGTCAGCATCATCGCTGCTCTCATTATCATGGTTCAGCAGCTTAGTCAAATGCTGTGGCAGCGAAAGCATTGCCAATTGTTGGAAATGTTCTCCAACATGGAGATACCATGCCGAGACAGATAGCTGCAGTCCCTCACAGAGCGGACAGCGATGATCGAATTTGTTACTGTCAGGCTGAGAGCTTGCCTGTGCGATGATCTGAAGGCTTTCAGGGTCCTCCGAGAGACTGTGGTCCGCCACAAGGTGGTCTTCAAGTAGTGTCTCTTGATCAAACCTCGGCGTACATTCGAAAGGACATGCCCATTGACGATGATGCGATGATTCCTCGTGATACTGCCACAGTCTGCGATCTGAATGCATTCGAGTCGCCAGTGGACATTTCTCCCAGGTGCAAAGGTACGGTGTCATGTCATCGCTGATGTGAGACCTTGCAAGCTATGTATTAGCTCGTTTTATACGTTATACAAGAACCGGAAAGCGCTATGGCGACGTTGTACGACGATGCCTCGAATGCATCAAAACTCGTCATTACCAGAGAAACTGCCTGGCCTGTCATGAGAACTCAAGGTAGGGATGTCCAAAGACATTTGTCCCTCAGTTTCGTAGGCGTGGCGTGGGAGGAGTGTCGTTGGGCAATGCAGGGAGGTGTGTATCTGCATGGGATGAGGTTAACTGTCGTATGACTACTGACAAAGCTCGTAGTCAAGTTCAAGTACATGCCATGCACGCCCGAGACTGCCGACACCAAATACGTTTCCCATCGCAGCCGAGCAAAGACTGTACTGATATCCGCTCACGACAACACCTTCGTTATTTTCGCCAGCGACCTCGAGACCAAGCTCGCAAACAAGATCGGCTGGACTGCTCCTGGTGACCGATCGACCATGGCAAGATTGCTGTGTCGGGCGTGGACTCGATTTTGGAGAAACTGCCTTTGAGTGCACAGCTCAAAAGTTGAATGAAAGCCTGTGCTGCGTATGATTGATGGCCTATGATACCAGGACAGCGATGCGAGTGAAGAATAGATATAATTGAGCGATCAAAAAAGCATTCTAAAGCTCCATCGACATTGGTGAGCTTTGAGCAGCTGACGCAAAGCATGCGGTATTATACGATAATGTTCAAGGTGCTGATTCTCAAACGAGTTCGGAGGTCGTGTTTGACTGTCTCTGTCAGAGTTGACGACATCTTCGATGCGGTCCTTCCGGAAACTCAACTCACCTGGTGTCTCAGTGCCAGCGGTGCCTGGCTCTCGGCACATTATTTTTTTTTGTTTTTGAGATTTTTTATTATTATAACCAGCGCAAAATCAGTGTTGGGAGATGAACATCAATCTGCACGCCATCTTCATCCACGAATAGCAACGCAATAAGAAGTTCTAGAAAGACATCAAAGCCCATCATCCCACCACCAGCGATAGAATACCCAAATGAGCCTCCGGAAACTCTATAATCCTGCATCCTAGCTTTCAACAACCATGCTCAAGGGTCATCCTCACATCCGAAACACAGCTACCTTGGAAGCTGTGCCCGCATCACCAGCGTCGTAAGACATTATTCCGTCAGCGATCTCGTTGCCAACCGGGAACAAATTTGAATCCTGCTTCAATTGATCTGCGACAACACAGTCCTGCAACAGATCCCGCCTCAGAGAACACACAGACACGAACTTGGATCCAGCTAAGCGAAGCTACCCGCCCGGTTCATTGCAACATCCATTGTCTCTCGTCTTATTGTACCACGTCAGCAAGCGTTTCCCTCTTATCATACCTGCCTGCTCGCCGGTTGTGAAGAATCCAATGTCGTGGTGGAAGAACTTCACCAAACCTTTTCGAAAACTTCGGAAGAAACATACCAGACCTATCTACGAGCACGACTTCCATCAGCCGAGATCGCCCTACGCATCTGGTTTGCCATCTTCAGGCGGAAGGACTCACAACGAGCCTCACGTCCCACCGCCTAAAATCCCATCTCGAACTCCAAACCAAAGACGAGGAAGAAGCAGTTTCGATTCCGACGAACAATCGTTCCATACCACTCCAGAAGGAGGCTTCAAGATCTAGGTCGAGGTGGAAAGCAACATGACAGTATCCAGCGGCGGAGCAGCGGGAATCGGAATCGGCTGCGCAATCGCCGGGATCCTAATCTGCGGAGCAATTTTCTACCTCGTTGGTCGTAGACGTCGACAACTCGCAAGCCAAAGTGGAATCGAAGAAGAGATCTCCATCGGCGACGAGAAACCCCGAAAATTAAACCCTCTCCAACAAAACCCCATCATCGACGCCTCACAAATCGTCTCTCGTCCCAATACAGCCGTATCTCGCTCTTCCTCCTCTTCATCGAGCACACATTCCCTAGGTTCCCCAAACGACACAGAAACCAAAGAAAATCTCCTCCGCCTTAACGTCGCTATTCGAGCACATGCGGAAACTTTCTATACCACATCCCCCGCCATCGATCTCTCGCCATCTCATGATGCGAATCTTTCAACTCTCGCGGAAATTCTGGGAGCTTCGGCACCGCTTGATGCCACAGCCCTGCATGCCCTCCTCCATACCCCGGAAACTCGAATCGATGCTATAAGGCTTTTGATCGCGTGGTCGGTTTTCAAATATATCCAAACTGATGCAGAAATTGAGAAGACCTTGTTACCGCCGGAATTGGCTAAGTGTGCGCAGGCTATGAGCCGGGGAAGTATTGTGGACCAGAAACGGTATAGTATTCCGAGGAAACCTGTTCCAGGAAGCACGATTCCTACGATTGATGTTACGACTGTGCGCACGACTGCTGCTGCTGCTTCTTCTTCTTCGGATGATCATGTTGCTTTTGCAAAGTGGAGGGAAACTTCTGGGAAATTGCTTGAGCCGATTTATGGGGATGGGAAAGTTGTCGGGACGAAGGATTCTCGGGATCAGAATATTGGGGAGTTGGTGACGGTTTTGGTATATTTGCTGCAGCCGTATGTGGCGAAAGGTTATGGTGGAGCGAGAGTGAGGGATTTGGAGAATGTGATTAAGATGGCTGCGGCGTTTGGGTATAGGTTGTTTACGCAGAGGCCGGAGTGGGAATTTGCTTGGAGTACGTTGATGGCGGATGAGATTGTTGTGTATCCGGCGCTCGTTAAGATTGGAGATGAAAAGGGGAAGCGGTTGAGGAAGTCGGTAGTATTGGAGTGGGAGGAGGTGATGAAGTTGCCGGAACCTATGGAAATTGTGGTGAGTAAACGTGCTTCTGTGCACAAGGAGGTTGTGTAGCTGAGCCCAAAATTGTTTATCCACATCAAACGAATTCGCATATACCAGTGAACGCCGTCTAGTTGATGCAAGTGTTGTATCGTGGTATCTTCCCATGCATAGCACAATCCCGTAAATGCAAACAGGGGGCGCCAAAACGCCAACCTTCTCTCCAAGCTTCTTGCTAGAGGAAGTAGTCTCGAACTGGATCATTCCCAGCATGCTGTTGCTGCTGCTGCTGTTCCAGTCTATGCGCCTCGTTTTCTGGTGCGGCGTCGAAGACATTCCATTTCCGTTCGCCGCCGGGTCCGACCTCAAGAACGCTGGCCAAGTTGCCACATCGATAACAATAGTTGGGTGCGCTCCAAACGGTTGACAATCGATCATCAAACATGACCATATATCCTTCGTTACAGAGCTGATGTGCTCTGAGAATGTGCGTCATGCTGTTGACCTCCAAAAATTTCTTGACCACCTGTGCGCCAAACGTGTATCCTGCTCCGCGCGGCGACAGACTGAATTCATCTCGTTCGCTATCCGGATCTGACCAAACGAGATCGGCCATGGGTCCTTCATGTGGGATTTCACGGAAGCGGTCGATGATTTTGATCTGGTCTATGCTGTGTATGCTGGGACTGAGACCGCCATGTACGCAGAATATCTTGTCGTCGATGACACAAGATAAGCTCAGGTAATCGAACATGTCTGTGAAGTAGTGCCATACTGCCGGGTTGCCGTACTTTCGGCTGCACTCGGTGTAGAAGCCATACGACTGCGTGACGCCTCTGCTTTCGTGGTTGCCGCGGATCAGATGCACGCGCTGCGGATATCGGAGCTTTAAGCAGACCAGGAGCGAGATGGTCTCTATGCTGAACAGTCCTCTGTCGACATAATCGCCTGCGACACGCCGTCAGCTTGAGTCTGGACCTTGCGTGGCGCACGCTATGCTGCATGCTCGGTGGTGGTCGCGTGACCTACCTAGAAAGAGGTAGTTGGTGTCCGGGCAGTATCCACCGATCTTGAAGATCTCAATCATGTCAAAGAACTGTCCATGAATGTCTCCGACGACCGTGACCGGCGCCTGTATGTGCACGACATTGCTCTCCTTCATCAACAACTCTTTCGCCTTGGCGCATATTGCTTCGATTACGGAGTCAGCGAGGAGCTCCTTGCGGTACAGGCGAGCGATGCATTCGTCGAGGTCTACGCTGGCTTGAGGGGATATCAGCATACAATGCATACTGTCTGATCAGCGCATGGCATATGATGCATACATACCAGGGAGGCCAGGCATTGCTCGACTGCCCTGGGCGCTGTTTCTTGGGCGGCCTAGGAAGGAACGTGTTTATGGAGGGCAGGCGCATCAAGACCGGCTGTCATCATCATCGACCATACCAGGTGTGCTCGGCTAAGGATGGCGATGGTGGTGGGAGCAACATCTGCTTTGCCGCTGCCTCTGACTCTTGCGCTGCGATGGAACGGCGTTGCAGCAATACGGCGAGCCATATCGACACGGAGGACGTAATGTGCAAGGACCCACTCAGGCACGGGTGCGGGCGGGAGGCAGCCGCCGCTTTTTCTTTTCTGGGCTGCAGGCTGAGGCAACGTCTTGCTTTCTGGCCCCATCTCTATTCTAGCTGACGATGCCGACCCGTCTTCCACCATCGGCGTGAGCATTTCGAGCACGAAGAAGCAACAACTCCGCACCCTTTTCAGCCTCCCATCATCTCAGCTTATGCGGCAGCGGCAGCGGCAGCGGCAGCGGCGTCAAGAATCTGGCACAGCACTTCTCTACGCCATATTGAACAACACCGTTTCTCACGAGGCACAAGCAGCGCCCCAACCACTCTCAGGAGCAGGAGCAGCAGTCGCCCCATGATCGCTCAGGACAAGGGCCATATTTCGCCAGATATTTCTTTCTGTCTCCCCGTCCTGATCCACCTCTCGTAACGGCATCTCGCTCTGCCTTTTCAGCAAGCTCAATTTTCGTAACACCAAGAGAGCCTTTTCCATTTCATCACCGCAAGATGTATTCCCAGCATGGCCAAAATGGGTACGTTCTCCTTTCATACCAGATTTCACATTCGTGGAAGCTAGCCCATCTCCCCCCTTTCTCCTTCACACCTCAGGACAACGAATGCACCAGGGCCTGAGAGAGGAAAGATCTGCACAAAGCACACGCGCACCCGGCAAGACGTACCAAAAGTCGGTGCAGGCCAAAGTTCCTCTCTTTGATCCTGGCGACAGTCACTAATCTGGGCATCGTTGTCAGTTATGGGCCTCCTCCAGCAAAAAGGGCCAAGGGCAATCCGATCATAACCCGCTACCCCCCTCCGCCTGGATACAAGGGACCCAATCAACCCGGCGCACCCTATGTACCTCCGCCAACATGGCAAAATCATGCCTATGGTCAAGCTCCTGCAGGATATCATCAGACAGCATATGCGCAGCCTCATTATCAGCACCACCAGCCAAGCTATTCACAACCACAGCATTCTGCTCGCAATAGCATGCATATCAATGGACATCTTCCCACTCAGCAATCGAGCTGGCAACCTACAATAACGACGCCACAGAGCGCGCCTTCTTCATGGCATCCACCTCCGAGCAACCTTCCTCGCAATGCGCGACGTCACAATTCGGCGCCTTTCCCGTCTACTCGGCAACATCCTCTCGATGGAAATGGTGATCCGCTACCGCCGGAGGACTCCAACGCAGATTCTGGCAACGCGCTTGAGGCTGCTTTTGATGAAGAATGCTATTTTGGAAGGTATCCCGACGAGATCAATCCAGATCTCAGCCTGGGCTCTATCACATGGAAGGCGCCGCTGCCTGCGAGAAGAGCGCTCCCTGGTACCTTCCAAGAGGCGGAGCTTGAGGCTCTCGCACCGAGAATAGACGTACCCAGCCTAGACGACTCGGTCTCTGACTACTTTTCGAAGCTGAATGGAGACGAAGCACTACTGAGCATACGGCAGACGGAGCATTGGGCTGAGATGAGGAACGACCTTATATTTCGGGAATTTCCTCAAATGTGTGCAAGTCTGGTCAGTCTGGCCGAATTACTTTCTACCTGGCGAAACCGGTACGACCCCAGTTGGACATCCCGGCCGCCTACTCCAGAGCTATCTCGACCGAGCTCCAGGGCTAGCAGTACCACATCTCAGATGAGGCAGGATGATGGGGGTGTTCTCGACGATCTTGAGGCTGCGCTGCAAAACAGCAATAGAGTAAGCATGCCGCCAGAGCAAAGGCGACCTCATTCTAGGGCAAGCTCAGTATCAACCAAGAATATGCGCAGCCTTCATCTGCTGGCAACCCATCAAGCAACAGCAACATTACTTCCCAATACGACAACAGCACCCCCGATTCGGGATCAAGGACAAGAAGACATTTTAGCTGCGTTAGGCGTTACTGGCTCGCCGAAGCTGGTATACGAAACTCCTGGTCCAGCCTTCGGCCCGCGCCCAACCAGTGCTGCCGGGAGTGAGAAAAGCGCCCACAGCAGAAGCAACTCCATGACTAGTGTACATGGGACCAACGGAATGAATGGAAACGCTCTCGACTTCATTCCGGAGGTCGTCATCAACGAAGACATGGAGCCGGATGACATGGCCACGCCACGACCCAAGAAACCGTACGCGGGAGATACTAACAGGAAGCGCAGCTATGCCGATACTGGTCCCGGAGCTCACGAAGAATTTGATGATGAAGAGACGCCTCGACAGAAGGGCAAGCATGCGCGGATGCTATAGTGTGGCCAAAGATTTCCTGCTAATGTGCTGCGCCACCAACCCATGATTGCGAGAAATTTTGGCTGAGACTGAGCAAGCTATTGCTCTCCGAGTGCTTGATATAGATCGCTTAAGCTAGATGAGCTCCTTTTGACCATTGCGCGCCGCTATGTCCAGATTCCGCCTGCCAATCTTTGCATCTGTGCGCCTGTACCATGCGCTACTGCGCACACTTACGGGCATTAGCTGAGTAATGAACGAAGAAGGACCGCGGATGACATGAATGCTGTTGAAGACGCGAAGTGAGACTTTCTCGGAGAGAAGTTATCAACGAGCAACATTGGGTATCCTCATAATCATAGCTACAAAACAAAATCTCCAACACGACTGAGCACGAAGGCTCCATTTCATATACTCTGCTCCATCTCCGTGATGTAAAGCCTAATGTGACTCTCCATTTTCATATACTCCTCCCTCGCAGCCTGCACCTCATGCTCAATCTGCTCCTTCAAATCCGCCATCTTCTTCTCCGTCTGCTCAATCCTTACCCTCCTCTTCTCCACCTCCTCCCCTCTCTCCCTCCTCTCCGCCGTCAACTCTCTATGCGTAACTCTGAGAGCTTCCATCTTCGACTTGGCGTTATTCGCTCTCATCTCAGCATCTTTCCTCAACTTCTCCGTCCGGTCTTGCCATTGTTGCAATTGCTTCCTAAGCATCTTCTCCTGGCGCTCGACTTCTCGCACATTATTGGATTTTTCGGTGAGTGCTTCGCGATTCTTCGTGGCGGCGCGCATTTCTTCGTCTTCTTTTTGGAGTTCGGATTGCAGGTCTGAGAGTAGCCGGGTGAGGGAGGAGATGTCGGTCTGGAGGAGAGTGAAGGTGTCGCAGGATGTTTGAAGGGCACGCGAACGTTTGTCGAGACGATCGATTTCGGAACGGTCTGCTGCGAGAGATGTGCTTAGATCGCGGAGGGACTGTTCGAGGTGCGCAGGTGATTGCTCGGCGTATGGTCGTAATTTCGAGGCCTCGTTTCGAGTTTGCATTACTTGGGTTGTTTTGTCTTCCAGGAGGGATTTCAATCTGCTTTGCTCGCCTTTGACGCGTTCGAGCTTCTCTGTGACTCGCTCCTGGGTCTTCTTGAGCTCGAGAAGTCTAGTCTTGAGCTCTTGAGATTTTTGTTCCTTGTGTTGAAGCTCTGCCTCTACATTCTTGCGATTCTGTTGCATCTCGTCCAGCCGGTCCTCCTTCTCCTGGTTCGCATGGTACAGCTGCTCAATCTGATTCTTTACTCGCTCAGAGGAATTGTAATGCTCATCTATCACTGCCGTCTGACTTTCGCGGAATCGAATGAAGTTGATGATGTAGCTGAAAATCTTGACAAGTCGCGGGTGCGTAGGTCTGTACAAGTCGGAAAAGGTGAAGTCCTTGATACCGCATTCCAAGAGCAGCTTGCGCATAGTCACGAAGAAGCCCATCAACTCGCGCGTGTCTGCTGTGAATATGCGTTCTGCATCGTCGCCACACATGTCTTCTGCTGCCGCGCGCATCGCCGGCGCGACAACTTCGCGCGTTGTGTTGGTCAAGAGCTCCGCGAACCATTCGAACACTTTCTGGATCTGCTGAGGATTGGGTTTGCGTAGGTCTTCCACTGTGAAATTGATCCCTATGTCACTGATACATCCGGCGATCTCCTTGTCAGGCTACACATTGTCAGTATGCCCACTATACTGTCGTTGTCTGCGATGCGCCTACCAAAGTCATGAACGCATCGCCATCGTCGTGCTCTTTCTGTTTCTTCTGCTGGCTAGATACCGATCGGCCGCCCGCCATACTCATGCGCGGGTTGTAATCCATACTTGGCATTGTGTTCGTGTATGCGCTATTCTATCTTGCAATAAGTGCTTGGGTGGAGGTTGAAAGTCAATTGTTTGTTTACAACGCGGAGAAGTCTCGGCTATGAACGCATGGTTGAGGCGTGCAGCCCATTCCTTGGCGCGCTTCATCCCGAACAACACAACATCACCTCTTCACCTGTTCGGTCCACCTCAACATTCGCATTACCTCAGCTGATGAACGATCAACACATGGCCAGCGCAGATACGCGGAGTTGCGCAGGTTCGTCACATGAATTTCGTCTGCCGCAATCTTGGTACATCTCCAACTCGATCTGCTCGCTGAGCCAATGGCTTCAAGGCGAATTGCGTTTACACATAAGGTGAACCATTCTTCATCAGACTGATAGACACGCTAGATGTGTTCTCCTCGTTCTCACGACCAAGTCTCTCGGCAATCAATTCGGCAATATTGTCAATGGGCTTTTGTCGAGCAATGGATCTGATTCTCGCGGAAGTTCTCAGGACTCGATTGATATGCCGTGTTCTGAGCCCAAAAGCAAGCGGCTTAGAATGCTCCACAAAATGGCAGCTATGCTTCGGTGACTTGCGAATCCTCATTGCGAAGCTTTGGACAATCGAGGAGTTCTGGAAATCTTCGATTCATCGCTCTTCCCCTCTTTGTTGGGACGAGCAAGCAAGATTTCAACAACGGCGTGATATGTCGCAGCGTCAACAACTCCTCTCGAGAGAGCCGTTCCCGGCCTGTATGCGCATCATAGTGGAGTTACTCGGTGAATTGAGCCTACTGCGTCAAAGTCATTACTCTCAGCACGGTGACTGAGCTATTCTACTGACACTCTAGTCAAGCCCTTATGCTCCGATGGCCTATTAACACAACCAGACTTCTCTACGATGCTTGACTGCTGATCCGAGCAGGCCGTGGACACAAAATGTCTGGCGCGCATCGCCAACAAAGGCCTTTCGCTCTCCATTGCATTTCTCCGGTCACTCGTTGCGACCATGAAGTTCAACACGATCGTTGTTGCTGCAGTGACAGCAGTTACATTCGCTTTTGCAGCGCCTCAAAAGCACAATGGTACGTCTGCAGCACTGCTCATCGGTCTGACGCTGACGCTGACGCTGACGTCGCAAAGAAGCACTAGAGACGCGAGTCGTTACAGCCCAAGAGCCAATTGATGCTCGCGGCACAGCTGTTGCGACAGGCACTGTCAGGTATATCCATGAAGGTCAAACCGTTCGTGTCTATGACACCTTGACGCCCGCATACTCGCAGTACATCACTGCACAACCTTCCACCTTCGTGGAAACGTCAGAGCATCACAGGAACAAGCACACCAAGACTGTCGTCCAATTTGTGGTTGCCCCGTCGCCATATCTATCTACGGCATTCGTAACGCAGATCTACGAAGCCAATGGCCAGCCCTTCACCGGTGCTCAAAATTTCGTCGCAGGCGCACAACCAGCCCCAGCTACCATCCAGTCTGTTACGCATGGCATCGCCACTGGTGGTTTGGTGGCCGTGCAGACTGGAGTCGCTGTCCAAACTGGCTCTGTTCCCGTCATCGGGGGCGCTGGCGCTCCGGGTCCGGTTGTTCAACCTGTAGCCGTCCTACAGGACGTCGCCGGTCCCGTAGCTAGCGGTCGGATTGCAGGCCTTCCTTCAAATACCCCTAGTACAAGTATCCTCCGGATCACCAACATTCGAGTTGCAGCTACTCCAACGGCAGTAATTGTGAGCACAAGCTCAGCGAGGTCAGTAACCAATGTCTTTAGCATATCATCTACCGCCACAAATCCGGAGAACGGCACCCCAATGGGCAGGGCTGCGCCGCCTCGCTCAAGTTCTGCATCAGATCCTTGCGCTGGTTCTACAGGCTCCTACAGTGATTCTTCTGGCAAAGTCTACATTGTCCAGAGCTTGATGGACGGCAATGTCGAAGCTTACATGGGCTATACTACCTCATCCGGTGTTGATTGCTGCCTCAAAGACTCTGTCGGCACATTGTTCAAATTCCCCTCCAGCCCCGGCATCATCAACACCAGTCGTTTCGCCGTTTTCGAGGCCTGTGACATCGATGCTAACATCATTCATCACTAGGCCGACGGTATCATCAACTGTTTTGGTGGCCGTCGCACCTCCATCGAATAGTTCAACACAAGCAACCTTTGCCAACAGCACTGCTATGGCCGTGCCACCTTTTGCGAATACTACCATTCCTGCTAGGTAAGTGTCCTCGGTCTCGGAAGCGTTACTGCCCTTACATCTTGCACTGGCCCCCGTGCTTTGTGGAATGCATGCTGACATTACTGAAAAGCACCAATACTGTCACCCAAACCCAGACTGTCACTGCTACAATTTCCGTCACAGAAGCTTGCGAGACATGCCCCGGAGGACATACAACATATGCCAAAACCACCTATTATCCAGCTACAAGCTGGCACGGCCATTCGGATCCAGAGGCTACTTACGCTCCTCCTCATGGCGGCGACGACTATCCAGGCCAGGGACGGCCAGAGGAGCCTTACCCCGACTCCTACGAGAATTCAGAACCTGAGCACGGCGGCGAGGAAAAGCTCCAGAAGCGCGGAATGGAAGAATATCCGGCACCATCAACCAGCTGGGATTACTGGAGCTACTATGGATCGTCGTCATCGTCATCCGAGCCATATCATCCTCCAACAAGTGTCCACTATGGAGCATCTTCGTACAAGCCTAGCAGCTCGTCGTCGAAGTCTTGGTCTGGATATGGCTCTCACACATCAAGCAAAGCTTACGCGACTACGTCAAAGCCGTGGAAGTATGAGAGCACAACCTCATCTTATTCCAAGTCGTGGTCTGGATACGGCTCGAAGTCATATTCGAGCAAGGGTTACGGCAGCTCCTCATCTTCTCGTTCTTGGTCGGGCTACGGCTCCAAAACATCTTCGGCCAAGGCTTACGGCAACACCTCGCACCCAAAAACGTACGAGTCGTCCTCTTCTTGGAGATACCAGACCTATGTTCCACAGCAGAACACCACGAAGCCAGTCTACGGTCAGAGCAGCTCTACTCCCTGCCCGACTTCCACATCGAAGCCCTACGTGCCACCGTTCCAGAATACGACTACTCAATCTCCCTTCAATATCACGACTCAGACGACCAAGATCAAGATCTCCACAACGGTGACTCAGGGTTTCAGGTAAGGGAAGTGCACGGCGATGATTTTAAACGTTTTACTGAAATGAAAAATTAGCCGCCTGCTCAGCCTCCCGCGCAGCCTCCTACCCAGCCGCCAGCTCAGGTAAGGGAAGTGCACGGCGATGATTTTAAACGTTTTACTGAAATGAAAAATTAGCCGCCTGCTCAGCCTCCCGCGCAGCCTCCAGCACAACCTCCAGCACAGGTGAGTCAATACCTGAGATCGGATGTCTATGTGCAATACAGATACTGACTGTGTAGCCACCCGCACAGCCACCCGCGCAACCTCCAGCACAACCTCCAGCACAGGTGAGTCAATACCTGAGATCGGATGTCTATGTGCAATACAGATACTGACTGTGTAGCCACCCGCACAGCCACCCGCGCAACCTCCAGCACAACCTCCAGCACAAGTGAGTCGATACTCGAGATAATATGTCAGTATGATTACTGACGTTACTAGCCGCCCTCTCAACCGCCAGCGCAACCTCCTGCACAACCACCGGCTCAACCACCGGCCCAGCCGCCTGCTCAGGTATATCTGCCGTACAGCTTTCACGAGATGTCAAGTGATTAACAACGCAATAGCCACCTGCCCAACCTCCAGCGCAGCCTCCAGCGCAGCCTCCAGCGCAGCCTCCAGCGCAGCCTCCAGCGCAGCCCCCTGCTCAGGTAAGCTGAATATATGGTAAGAGTCAAGACACCTGCCTAACTTGGACATAGCCGCCATCTCAGCCACCTGCGCAGCCATCGTCGTCGAACACCTACCCGGTATCAGGCCCAAGCAACACCTCGCCGGCCTCGAGCCCAAGCGTCTCGGCTTACCAGGGCAGCGCAGCAGGCACCAAGGTCTCCACCTTTGCCGTGCTGCCCCTCGTTGCAGCATTGTTCTTCTTCTAAGCTGAGATACCCAAGTCAGGCGTCGAGGCGTAAGGTGGACAGCTGCTTGTATGTTTCTCGAATCCTTGACTTGAGTTGAATAGATACTGATATGCGTGCAGCTCTCAGCCGCAACAAAAGAATGGAACAACGAATTGGTGCATGCCTTTCGAACAACTAATGCCTTACATAATCTATACTTATATAAGCAAGCTATAATCTTTAATTGGATGTCTTCTCCCACACTTTTCGTATGTCTGTCAGCGTCTCAAGACACAGCTATGTTCCGATGGCAAGTGGTGGGTAGCATGAGGCTATGATGGTCTCGCGTGTATCTTATCGATGGGTGAAAAGAAATATGCTTATCAGCGGAGGTTTGATTGGTTCGCTCGCTGGGAAGCCTCTCAGCAGTGGTCGACTACTGGTAAAGCGGTATTAAATTATGTTGACACAATGACCTCCACTACTGACGAGGCGAGCTCTGAGTTCTCCCACTGCATTATTCTACTTTCCTACTTGTTCGTCCGCGAGCTTGAAGTTGCATACGACCGGCAATAGGCGCTGCTCTCGTCCAGTTCTCCGGGGAGAAGGCTCAGCTGCATGTTTCGCACAGAGCCAAACAGGCACATGTGCCATGTGCCATCCTCATGGAGCGTGCCATCGCCATCGCCATCGCCGGAGACGCGGAATCTGCACACGTCAAGCACTCCACCGCCAACCACACGCCCCCGAATGGGAAGCCCTCCTCGACTGCTTACGAAGCTGCAACGGTAGCACCCACCAAGCCCAGGCCCAAGCAGCGCAGCAGACGCAAAAAGGCGGATGTGGAGGAAGAGGATTCTTCGAAGCGACGATGCGTGAGTACCGCATGTATCGCATGCCGGTAGGTTGTGTCGACATACAAGAGACTCATCCTCAGGCGCAGATTTGCTGACAGCACTCGGGAAACGATAGAAAGCGCAAAAGCAAATGCGATGGCAGCACTCCCGCATGTGCTGCTTGCAGTCAAGTCTACGCAACCGAATGCATCTACGATCCGAACTCTGATCACCGCCGGAAGGGTGTATACAAGAATGACATGGACAATCTAAAGACTCGGAACTCAACTCTACAAACACTGATTCAGGCCATTCTGAACTATCCAGACGACCATGTACCTGCGTTGGTTCGAGAGATCAGAACGTGCGAAAGCCTGGATGCGGTCGCAGAAAAGATAGCAGCAAAGGCAGCTGGGCTCGAACAAGAACAAGAGGAAGAAGATGCACTGGGAGCCGCAGAGGACAACACAGGCACGAGGTCGACGTTTGAATCGCATCTGTATGGGAAGATGGGAGACTTGAGGCTGGATGAGGGATCTGTCCGATACATTGGAGGCACATCGAACCTAATCCATCTGGCATCTGAAGAGAATGAAGCTTCAGACGTGGACGAGTACCTTCAGCAGGAGAATCCGATCACATCTTGGACAAGTGTTACCAACGACCCGGATCTGGTCCTTCATCTCGTCAACATGTACTTCACCTGGCACTATACCTTCTTTACCTGTTTATCGAAACAACTGTTCCTTCGGGATTTCTCACTCGGTCGACCGCCCGCGAGCAGCAGACGGAAGACACACTATTGCACGCCTTTACTGGTCAATGCTATATTGTCACTTGGTTGCCATTTCACATCCCACGCTGGCGCCCGCGAAAATCCAGACAACTCTGCGACCGCGGGCGACCATTTCTTTAAAGAAGCAAAACGGCTGATCATGGAGAACGACGAGCACGAAAAGCCGCGACTGACTACGGTGCAGGCTTTGGCACTGATGTCTGTAAGGGAAGCTGGGTGCGGACGAGAAGGCCGTGGCTGGGTGTATAGCGGAATGTCTTTCCGAATGGCGTGCGATATGGGTCTGAATCTTGACTCGGGACAATTGACGACCAATCGTTGTGTCAGTGGCGACGAGAATGAGGAAGACGTCAGAAGAGTAACATTTTGGGGATGCTATCTCTTCGATAAGTGCTGGTCAAACTATCTCGGTCGCTTGCCTCAGCTGCCTTCGTCACTGGTTACAGTGTCCAAGTATGAGGTATTCCCGGATGAGGACTCCGCGCAATGGAGCCCTTATACAGACTCTGGTTTCACGCAAGCGCACGCGCAACCCTCGCGAACGAGAGCAGTCGCGCTACAGATATCGAAGTTGTGCGAAATTAGCAACGACCTTATGAAGCACTTCTACAACCCAACCGATATGGACAAGACGAAAGGCAAAGCAGCAGAGCTCAAGAAGCTATCTGACATTCATACAAGACTTGAAGCATGGCGACGAGATCTACCAAAAGAGCTCGAGCCAAAGGAGGGAGGACTCTCAAGTGTGCTTATCATGCAGTAAGGCTAGTTTGCTTCTTCCATCTGAGCTAGTCGCTAACACAAAGCCAGCATGTATTTCCAGCTCCTTTTCATTCACCTCTTCCGACCCTTCCTGAAATACACCCAAGCAACATCGCCACTTCCGCAGAACGTGAGCCCACGCAAGCTTTGCACACAAGCCGCGGCCATGATCTCGAAGCTCATGCGGCTTTACAAACGATCGCATGGTCTTAGGCAGATACCCAACGTCGCCGTCTATATCGCCCACTCTGCTTGCACGATTCACCTCCTCAATTTACCTGATAAGAACGCCACGAGAGACATCGTTCATGGAGTCAAACATTTGGAGGAGATCGCCGAAGGTTGGCTCTGTGCAAGACGGACACTGGCAATTATCAGCCTCCTGGTGAAAAAGTGGAACGTTGAGCTGCCAGATGAAGCAGCTTCAGTGCTTACCAGGACAGACGCCAAATTCGGCACAGTGCTAGGTGAGATACAATCGCCTCGAAGCCAGACAAGTCATCCGCGGGGAATGTCCGAAGCAATAATGCAACCACAACCTATACCTCAACAGCAGCAGCAGCAGCCATGGCAGGCGAACACGCAAGGTCTTCAGCCGAATAACTATTTCACCGAAGCATCGGCCAGGACCTTGATGATATCTGCCAGCTCGAGCGCCGCGATAACCACCAACACTGCAAACTATCAGCCGCCTCCGCGGGATGCCCACGGCCTCAGGGCTCAGCAGTATCCTTCCGCAGCCAACACTCCTGCAACGCAACCACGACAAAGCTGGGCATCGACCGGTGGGGCTACCACTCGACAAGATGCCAGTCCGAGCGACATGTTTGGCGGTGTAGAGCAGCTCATTCGTGATAGTCAAGAGTGGGCTTATAGAGATCAAGCGCAACTCGCGACTGGGTTCGACAACTGGAATCAGATTGACATGGATCCTTCTACGTGGAATACAACTGCAGCCACGACAGTTGGTATACCTGCTCCTGCTGTCAATGGCGGCGTATCAATAGGAGGACCTGTGGGCGGACAGATACCAGGAGTCTCTGTCGCACCACAGACGCCCCAAACTGTGTTCAACCATACGTCGCCGCAGTCAATGGACGGCCTAGGTATGGCGAATTGGTTGAACAGTATGAATGCTTACAACAACATGGCTGGAGCGTATAATGAAGACGAATGGTACCAATGACTGCAATGCACGTAGAAATCATGAGATCACGGCTGTGCAGTGAAGGAGATGACGCGTCCATTTCGATGCCTTTGGAACGTTGATACCCGAACAAAGTAGACTTCTATTTCGATAATAATAGTAGCAATTTACACAGAAAGTAACGACGAGTCTGGATAGTCTAGGGCATAGCCATACCGAACACATCTTCTATCATTCGTTTCAACAGTCGATGGTCTAATGTGATCGACCGCGTAACCGGAGATCGGCACCGAGGAGTGGCGCTTTTTCGCCTAGGTAGTAAGCAATTCTAGGCCTTGAGGTTGAGCGAGGAATTTGCGATTGGCTGACATAAGATCTTTGCGATGGGATCTTTTGCGGATCTGATAATTGTACCTTTGCACCTGCCCTTTTAGTCTAGTTACATGAGAGGAAGGAGGTGAAGAAGAAGCTTTTTAATAATAGCGTGCGAATCTCGTCTTAATCCAACCACACCCACCCACCCGTTCACTCGCTCTCGTCCAATCCTGCATTCCATCTACTATGGGTGATACGGACGTAAGTAAAACAATCTCCCTCTAACCCACCCTACAATGAATGCATATTGATTAAATCCCTCAACCAGAGACCCTCCGACCTGGCACGAATCCGAGAAAATCAAAGAAGATCACGAGCCCGAAGAAAAGAATACCTGCAAGACCTCGAAAGGAAATGGCGACGGTGTGAGAAATTTGGAATCGAGGCTTCGGTGGAAATTCAAGTCGCTGCGAAAAAAGTTTTGGAGGAGAATTTGAGGTTGAGGGCTTTGCTTATGAGGAATGGCGTTTCTTTGGACGATGAGGGTCCGAGATCTACATCTGATGTTGCTGCGGATTTGGATTCTTTGTTTGGTGCGAATCGGAGGTGTGGAGATTCATGCGGACTGAAACAGCAGCAGCAACAACAACGGACTTCTTCTGCTTCTCTTTCGCCTTGGCCGACACAGCGAAGTCCTCTGAGCAGCAACGAGAACACGTGCTCTACCCTCCTCCTCCCCCCCTCCTACCCACCCTCATCAGGACCTTGCACTGGCACAAACTCCACATCTCCAGCAAATTGGTCCACAGTCTCGGATCCAACAGCCTACAATGACCAATACGACTTACCTCCATCACAGCTAAACGACGCATCCTCGTGTCGAGACGTTGCAGATGCGATACGATACATTCGACCTGGAGTCGGAGACGAGTTGGAATCGGAGATGGGTTGTCAGGACGGTAATTATTGCGAAATACCTGCGACTCGGGCATTTGATCTCATGGATAGGTTTTCCTCTGATGATTTGGGTGGATCGAGACGACAATGACAATTGTGGTACGCTTCGGAGAGGGGAAAGATGGGATTTGTTGGAGAGAGTTCTTTCAAGATTAATGTTATTTGTGTGAATTATCACGAGCTTGATACGAGTGTTGAACACGCCGAGGATGTTCCGTTCCCCACTACTTTATCTGCAATTGCTCCTGGACAACATGATCGGAGCTGAGCCATCGATGCGTTGCCCATACGCCTCATTGACCACGAGTCGAGGACGCCGTTTGCCTGAGAAGTAGATGCAAGTTGGTCCAGTTGAGTCTGGGGATGCTCCATTCTAAGATCTGTTCAGACAGTCAGCATATGCTCGAATGAGGCTCTCGATATGTGGTTTGCGGTGACGAAGATTCCAATCAGGCTTTTAGCTCTTGAATTTTTCCACATTAATGTTCAGAACAGGTCTGTGAATTTTCAAAAATTTCATCATTGGAGAAATGTCGGAAGAGATTTTAGCACGTACCTTGACACAGCAGGGTTGAAGCTGATGTCGAACTGGCTAGACAGGATAGCTGGATCGAAGAGGCTGTTGTACGGGAACTCGACGCCAGACTGCTCCAGGACACTGACCGCCTGCGCGTTGGACCACACACAGCTGAGATCCACACTTAAGCTGAGGTGCGCGATGGCCGCTTTCAAAAAGTATCTCGTTCTGCGCCATCGACATGCTAGGGTCGAAGGCATCCCAGCGTCCATCATCCTCAACTGCGGTGTTCGGGGCAGCAGGATTGAATGCGTGATCAAAGGGCGTTGTCAAAGACCGGCACCCAGTCGTCAGCTACCTAGGCGCTCAAAGGTGCACCACCTTGCCGCCACAGTCCTGATAGCGACTGTCCTGCCAACCGAGAGCTCACCGAGACGCTTTGTAGTCACGTTCAGTATGGGCACTGCCTCATCCCACGCCGGCTGTTCTGCTTGCCGAACATCCATTTCGACCGCGGCAAGATCGGGATCAGGCTGATCAAGCCGTGCTGGATACTCCGCCAGTATCAGCTTGCTTTCAGTGGCAAGGGCGGCCTCCACTGCAGCGGATATCGAGCGATTGATGCCTTGAGCCGAGAAAGCTGTGGTTGGTCGGTGAACTTGAATAAGGTCAAGAACTGCCAGCACAGGCCGTGCACTCTTGTAACGCAGCGCAGTGTCAGCGTCATGTGGCCGTTTTGCGAGAGCCAGGCTGTAGGTCGCCAGATATGCTCGAAGATGAGTGATGTCTGGGCAGAATACCAGCTTTAACGTGCGCGATGTGGACAGAAGCCGCAGGGTAGGTGTGCGCCAGAGGCGTCTCATGCGGTCGGTAGGGAGAGTAGCTTCGTCCAGCCCGGCCTCCGTAGAAGCAGCTGCATGCTCGAGAGACTCTATGAAAGCAGTCTTGGTGGAGCAGACCACCAAAGTTGATGGTGGTGCATGACAATCGAGCACATGCTGCAGGAAGTCCAGTATGCCGGCGCCTTCGAGGACAATCGACTCGAGTGAAGGCATGTCTGACAAATTTTGTCATGTGCAAGCAACTGTGACTATCGCCATGCAATTTTAGAAGTGAGGCAGATGGATCAAATTGCTGCCGCAGCTGAAGCTGGAAAGTGAGAGTCAGTAGTGGGGAGCAAAGGCGCCGCGCATGACATGTTGATGCTGCCTCCAGATGATTCAGTTCATGGAAGCGTCGGCGAGCAATGTCGAGCGGCGCGGCGCGACGTTTGGTTGTTCACATGTTGATGTGTTGAAGAAGAAGTAGAAGTTGGTCCACCAACATTTCGTGCTTTGGATGCGAAGTCTTGGCAAGAAGCGCATCCCTGTCAGTGCTCAGCCCGCACAACGTGGAGCCCCACCAGTGTACGGTGACCAGTGGTCATGAGCTGGAAGGTAGAAGGTCGCCTCACTACACCGGCCAGCTGCAGTTCTGGTCGCACTTGCCTGAAGGGCAGCCAGGCAGGCTCGCGGTGACACGATGGAGTCAATTTCGCGCATAAGCTCGATGCTGGAGACAGGTATGCACCGAGAACCACCACCACCACCACTACCACCACCACCGCCGCCAGCAACATGGAGAGCATTCGCTGGGAGCTCCCGCAGCCAAAGCTGATGCCAGACACAGCACGCGACTTGACACTCGAGGCCGCGCGAGATGCCGGGCCACGAAGAAGCACGAAGCCGCTGCCGGCGCAGCAGATCAAGAAAATGCTGGACAGCAGGAATGAAAGAGACGTGCTCGACGGGCTGCGGAGAGTGGTTGCGGTATGCTCTGCGACCCCGAGTCCATATGTGTATATACGGATACATGTTGATAATGGCTGTAGATGCAATACTCCAATCCTCCACAGCCGACGTTGACCTTCTTTCCTGCTGTTCTGAAGACCCTCTCATGGCAGTATCCATCGACACGCCCATTGGTCTACAATTACTTGATCCACCATGCTGAGGCTGACCCAGACACTGCTTTGCTGGCGATCAACACAATACAAAAGTCATTATCCGACGCGAATCCGAGAGTGCGGGCAATGGCACTCAAGACCATGTCCGGAATTCGAGTTCCTGTCATCTCCCAGATTGTCAGCCTCGCCATTAAAAAAGGCGTTAGCGACTTGTCACCCGTGGTCCGCAAGGTCGCAGCTTTGGCCTGCGTCAAATGCATAAAGCTTGACCCGAATACGCGGCCGCAGGTGGGAGAGTACCTGGCCACGCTCCTGGCTGACAAGCAGTACTATGTGGCCGGAGCTGCCGTCCAGGCCTTTCTAGAAATATGTCCAGATCGCCTTGATATGATCCATCCAAACTATCGTCGGCTCTGCAAAATGATCGTCGACATGGACGAATGGGGCCAGCTTGCGCTCATTAAGCTCTTCACGGTCTACTCACGCAAATGCTTTCCGCGGAGGACGAAGCGAGTCAAGAAAGCCGTCAACCAAGAGCAGCGTGCCAAAGACTTCTACGAAGACTTGGATGAGCGGGAAGAAAACGAGGATGACTTTGAAGAAGTCGAGCAAATCGATGCGGACCTGGAGCTCTTTTTGAAATCCATTCAGCCCCTTCTATCGAGTCGGAACTCTGCCGTAATCGTTGCTGTGGCTCGAGCTTACCTTTACCTCTCGCCTTCCAAACACCTACCTCAAGCTATCGGACCGCTGATAGCTTTGCTACGCTCTCCTCAAGACATCAATCAGGTTGCGCTCTACAATATCGTCCAAGTGTGCCTCACCGATCCAACCTATTTCGTGCCATACCTGCGGCACTTCCTCATACGATCGAATGAGGCCCCTCATATCTGGCAGCTCAAGCTGGAAATCCTTACGCTTATATTCCCACACAGTCCGAAAGAGACGCAAGATTTGATATTGGCAGAGCTGGAACATTTCTCAAAAGGCCATAATGCCCAACTGGTCCGTGAAAGTGTTCGAGCGATAGGACGCTGCGCGCAGGCTTCAAGTGACGCAACATCGCGACGATGTTTATCATTGCTGCTTAAGCAAATCCGAAGCTCAGATGCCACACTGGTCGGCGAAGCTATGGAGGTGATACGACATCTCATACAACGCGCTCCAAACGAACACCGCAAAACCGTCATCCGACTCGCCAAGAATCTAGACACCTTATCTTCACCCACAGCTCGAGCAAGCATAGTCTGGCTAGTGGGAGAATTCGCCGGAATCGACCCAGAAAGCAACATCGCAGCCGACGTCCTCCGAATCCTAATCAAGAACTACCCTGACGAAAACGACGAAGTCCGCGCACAAATCATCCTCCTTGGTGCAAAAGTCTACCTCCACTATCTCAACGCTAAAAACGAAAAGCAAAAAGCAATCGAAGCCCTCAATCCAGAAAAGCCGCCGCCGCAAACATCCACGATCCTGTCAGATGACACTGAAGGTTTCCGTGAAGACGCTTTCTCTTCAACACCCGAGAAACCAGAAGAAGCCGAAAGCAAACCCAAAGATCCCATCGAACTCCTCTACGCCCACACCATGCTTCTAGCGCGGTACACACCCTCCTACTCCCTCCGTGACCGTGCCCGTCTTTTCCGATCTTTACTCGCAATCGAAACCTCGACAGAACTCGCTTCTCTCTTACTCCTAGCGCCCAAACCTGTGCCGCAAGCTCCCTCGCCTTCGGAAAGTCGGAGAGATCTCCTTCTTGGTTCTACGGCTCTGGTTCTTGGGACGGAGGTTCGAGGTTATGAGAGGTTGCCGGAGTGGGTGACGGAGGGCGAGGAGCCGGATTCGAGATTGAGGGATGATGAAGGCGGAAAGGAGTATGTGGCTGATAGAGTCGTGACAGCGGCGGAGAGGTTGGATGAACAGGCAGAGAGGGATCACGGGTATAGTGGGGGTAAGGTTAGGAAGGAGAAGACGTTGGATGATTGGTTGGATGAGAGTGAGGAGAGTGAGAGTGAGAGTGAAGAGGAGGAGACTGAGTCGGAAGAGGAAGAGGAAGAGGACGAGGAAGAAAGTGAATATGAGACGGATAGTGAGGAGGATGAGAGGGCTGGGTTGGTGAAATGATGTCGCAGCGACAGAATCTTGAGCATTGAATCATTATGATCGATCCCATCTCAAGCGAACAAGTCTCTCAACCTCCCATCCACAACCAAAAACCCTTCGCACTCCTTCTCCAAATCACATCCCTCTCCCTCTTGCTTCTCCACCGATATTTTCAGCAACCTCACACACTCCCTCAACTCCTTCCTCACATCATCCACGGGCGTCCCGTCCACGCCTTGGATTTTTAACCAACAAAACATCACACCCTTGAGTACCTCTCCCCTATACACCACCATCCTAGGCCAAGAATTTCTGATCAAAGCCTGCATCGCCCTAGCCGAAGTCTCGAGCAAAGTCAACGTAGCAATTCCCGTGGGATCAGAAAGACTTTCTGATAGCATGGGTAAGATGTATTTGATGTGTTTCACGGAATCTATACCGAGTTCATCGAGATAGATGCCAAGTTGGTGGAAGAGGATTTCGAGGATGTGTGGATGAGAGGGGCAATGGGTATAGCCGTAAATGATTCCTTTGCGAATGATGGTGTCGAGAAGTTTTACGCGGTGCGGTTTGTCGTTGGGGAAGCGGCTTTTGGATAAGATTAGGAGTGCTGGGTATAGTGCTTTGAGGAGGGGGATTGATTCTTCTTCTGGACTTATTGTGGGGATGTATGTGAGGCAGGGTAGTAGTGCTTCTTCGAAAACTTCGCCGAGGCCGGTGCGGTTGAGAAGGGAGGTGGGTGTGGATTTGAGGAGGAAGGTGAGGAGTTCTGTTCCTAGTTGTTTGTATTTCGTTTCCCAGTCGTCGAGGAGAGTGAGGATTGGTGGGATGACGAGGGGCCAGACTTCGGAAACTCGATGCTCGTTCAGGCTTTTGATTGTCCATCCAAGAATGTCGAGAACGAAGGCATCTTTGGAGGATTTCCAAGGCTTGTTCGCAGTGTCTTCCATTGACTGAAGTGTGATTTTCTGTGGGAGCTGTTCTGTGGTGATTTTACGGCCCTGTTCGGTTACCGTTCTGGGTGTGGCCTTGATGAACAGAGGACGAATCGTAAGCTTTAGGAAGTGACGGACAAGATCGAAGGTAAGCTCACCATTGGCTTGGTGATTCTTCACCTCTTCAATTGCTTGTTGAGCATCATTCGTGCCGGGGTGCCGCAACTGCCAGGCCATGACAACATCGAGAGCATCTTTCATCCATGGACCTGGAGGAGTGCCAATAGCTTTGGCGAGGGCTTTGCCATCGAGTAGTGGCTTCAGAGCGCAGACATCTGTGATATCGAGAGCGCGAAGATGTTCGATGAAGGCGATGTACTTTCGTTCGATCGCTAAACATCGTCAGCGCGATCAGAGTTCAGTGTGGAATCAACAAGTGTTCACTTACTCTCTATCTGGCCTTGATTGTCCGCGAATTCCACCAACAGCGAGTAGATTATTTGGCTTCGCCAGCTTGTTCCCCACCTACGTATCGCCATGCCGAGAGCATCGCGAGCGGCAGGATCTTCGCCCTCGAATCTCTTGTCGGGCCGCCGTTTCCTATCATAGACTTTGTCGACCAGATCTGAGATCTCAGTCTGGTTGCGAACGGAAGCATTGATGACATCGCTGATCTTGTTGGGTGTCTTGATGCCTTCTCGCGCTACAGTTACCGGAATGGGAGGCGGCGGCTTCTTTCCAGGCTCCGCAGGCTCTGGGTGCGGCGCATCACGATAAGGAATGACCGCCGCAAGAATCCAGGCGAGATATGACTCTTCGCTGTCTCTCGCTAAATTTTCCTGCAGCACGCCGCCGGAACTGAGTATCTCCTCAAGGGTGTCGATGATTATGCTCCAGCCTTCAATGTCTGGTGTGTAGTGGTCTTCCTTGGCAACCATAGGTTCGGAGAAGATCGTATCGTACAGGCCAAGAGAAAAGACAAGCCTCATTGCTTCGTGCGGGTGCGGCCCAAGCAATGCTTTCTCGAGCTCAGTACCGACGCGCTCTCTGCTGATTTTGCGACGCAGCTCGTGCTTGATGTCTTCGTTGCCCATTGCTTGCAGAGTTTCGTCGTCGATGGTATACTCCAGCCTACTAGCAAAGCGAATGAGTCGCAACACGCGCAATGGATCATCCTTGAAAGTCTGATATGGTTCCAGCGGAGTTCGAATCAGTTTCTTCGCCATATCCTCGTGGCCTCGGCCGGTGAAGTCCTCAATCTGCTCGGTGTTAATGTTGTAGAACATGGCATTGACTGTCGCATCACGCCGTAAAGCGTCTTCTACTGGGGTGCCGAACTCCATCTGAGGATTTCGGCTATCATCAGAATAGGTCTCCTTTCTTAAATTGACCAGATCAATGTCCAGTCCCAGTATTCGCATGGTAGTAGTCTCGAGATGTTTCGACTTCTCGGGGTTAGCTTCGATCTTGTGCAGACCACCAAGGGTCTTGGATTTGTTGGTTGCTCCGGCTTTCTGGCTCTGCTTCTCGTTTGCAGCAATTGATTCCAGGCCATACTTTTCGAGATTCCCAGGAATTTCCAGATACTCCTTTAAGCGGAGGCCAAACTGGTAGCCCGTCATCTTGTTGATAGCCACATCGATATCGTGGCTTTGCACACCTAAAAGCTTGTCCCGAACCCATCCTCCCGTGAAGCGTAGTGTGATGGGCTGTTTTGCGAGGTCGTCAGGTACGGGAACTTGGCCTTCAGCATCAGGCGGCGATGGTGCGGCATCAATATGCTTTGCAACGTCCAGCAGTAGCGTGCGAAGTGTTTCTTCCACTGGCGTCAATTCTAGCTTCGCCGGTGCGCCAGACTCATCCTCAATTTCCTGGACGAGCAAAGGCATGTCGGTGGACAGGCGGCGACAATGCGATATCGAAGAATGATTCAGTCTCCTTCGTTTCGTGCCCTCATGTGACGGGATGATTTGTCGGACCGCAGGCATGCAAGATACGGGCTTGCATTGGACGTAACTGGTGGAAGTGATGCTGCGAAGTCGAATCCAGCTTCCAGAGATGTGTCTTCGTCGAGCCCAGTGAGTCAGCCTTCGTGTGACTTGAAGCATTCACCAGCATGAAATTGGCGACTGCTCACATGCAATATGTATCGTGAGCCCAAGGGGGTGGTGGTCCCGATGCCGATGCCTGCAAGATTGTTGTGGGTGTCGTTGTGTGCATGTGAAATGTTTGCTCGTGATGTCGAGGCAAGAGTTTGGCATGAGCAGTCTCCACACGCCAGGCGCTGATTGGTCAATCTTTTTGAGCCTTGTTGACAAGCGACGTCGTAGTCGGCACCAGCTGCCTCTCAGATCATCTGCTGCCACGTCGGCTTCGGCTTTGGTCCTGTGCTATAACAGAGACATGAGGGAGACTTCACCAAGCGACAGCCCACACGCATAGAATCGCCATCGCCAATGCCAAAATCACTCGTCGTCCACCCGAATACCAGCTCGAGGCTTTGTCGCCCATGCCCGATCCAATATCGCCGCAGGAGTCTGATTCTGAATCCATCTCTGTGCACAAGAGAAGGCTTGGGAAGTCGCCGCTATCATCCATCTCGACTCTTCCATACCGCCGAAGTAATGCCTCCTTGTCGAACCTCTTCTCGTCGACGACATCCCTCCCTACTTGGCCGGGCTCGCCCTCTCCGAGCCAGTCAGGGACGGTGACACCGACCGTGGCGACCAGCAATGGTTCTAGATTCTCGCCCGCTGGATCGACTATACGGTCACCTTCGCCTGCGCCTTCGGGTCAAGTCAGCAGCAATGATATTAGAGATTTGATACTGCGCGCTTTCTCGCCGCATGTGTCCGTGCTAGCTTCCTACGATACCGAGGAGCTCATACGGCACAAGGGAGTCAATGGTGGCCTACTAGAGCTATTGCGACCGTTTGGCGAACAAATTCCAGGCAAAGTCACAATTCGTGACAGCACTGGAGTGAGCAGAATATGGGACGATTTCGCGATTCGTTTCGCTGGTGTGAAGGATGGCCTGGAGAATCCTCGCACGACGGACAGGAGAAGCACTGACTCGGCTGGTCCTGGTGCGAGATCTGGAAACAAAACATCAGTGCTCGAATATAAGCCTGCCAGACTACGGACCGGGGGAGATGTGCCGCAGATCGAAGAGTTGGTCGAGCGACACTTGACCTTTTACGAGGAGAATTCTGGACCCATAGAGGCCAGCTACATGACAGCCAAGGACACTGCGCAGATCCATGATCCGGCTCGCACGTCTCCATTCTATTCTTTATATTTACGCCGACTACTTTCCGGCCTTCCTCTCCTCCCGTCCGAAACGCTGAGCCATCCGGTTGCAGCTGTCATTGCTATTTCCTCCAGATCAGCTTCTCCAATAGAAGAGCTTCGAGGTCTTTACGACTCGTCAAACTCGGGCGAGCACCGGCTGCCGCAATGGGTGCATAATGAATTCCTACGCTATTATGTTTTGATACATGACGAGGATTATGATGATATCACGAAGTCTATGGCCCTGTACGATCAGATGAAGCGACATTTTGGCTTGCACTGCCATCTTCTGCGCCTGCGTAGTACGCAGTGTGTCTCATCCGACGACGACAGCGTGAGACTCCCTCCGTGCGAATGGACTGCTGCAGCCGAGGAGCTTGCCGAAATTGTTCGACACGAGACCAACGAGGACGAGGAAGACTCTTCTCCATACATTTTCGAGACCGATGCAACGGCAATTCGCGCATTCGTTCGCGAGATGGTCACGCAGTCCATCATACCTTCTATGGAGCGCGCTTCTGCAACCTGGAACGACCAGGTAGCATCGCGGCGGCGAGGCTTGAGCGGCAGGTTCATGTCCCTTTCCAAACGATTCACGACGTTCGGAGGCCGCAACTCGTCAGGGCCGACTCTTGGAGGTGCTGGCAGTAATTATGACAGCTTGCAAGGCTTCTATAGACCCGACGCTCCGGAGGCCATCATGCGCAAGCTCGGAGACTATGCCATGATGTTGCGTGACTTTAGGCTGGCAAATGGAACATTTGAGATTCTCTGCCAAGACTTCAAGAATGATAAAGCCTGGAAGCACTACGCCGGTGCCAACGAAATGGCGGCAGTCAGTTTGATGCTCGCAACTGGGCCCAACAACAAGATTCGCATTGAAGGCATTGACCAGTATCTCGAGACGGCATATTACTCGTATGTCACGCGGGTCGGTGCGCCTTACAATGCACTACGTACTCTCGTGCTTGGCTTTGAGCTCTTAAAGATGCGAGGAGGCAACGCACTCGACGATGCTGCCAGATGGGCGAACAGAATACTCGACGACAGACTGATCGGGAGTGTCGGCCACGCCCTGCTCATGGAACGTATTGCTACCTGCTTCGCAGAAAGAACGGCTGTCGGTGGTCTTGTTGACATCAATAGAGATCGCAAGGCAGCTTTCTGGAATTCGCACGCGGCAGACGCTTGGCTTCGGCTGGAAAAAGCGTCCCAATCTGAGAAGTGCCTCGCGGAAGCATTTCGGTTGTACGGTTTAGAGGACGACGAAAGTGCTGTTGGCTTCGACCACATGGCCACTTTCCTGTTCTCCTTGCAGGAGACCGTGGCCGCGAATCGCGGCGGCGTCCATCATCTTGACGAGGAGGACCTGGTCGATGACCTGACCGAGCCGATTCAGCAGGAGACTGAGCAGATGAGCCAGCAGCCAGCGCCTTCTGGGCCAGTTGGACACGGTCATCGAAGGAGCTTGAGTACTGGTGCCGCGCCTCCTATCGGCACGTTGGGTAATGCCCACGCGCATCGCCGGAGCTTGAGCTCCACAACAGGTCCGCCGCAGATACAAGCATCGTTCGATCCTCTCGGCGCAATGCCTAGCGTGTACGAAGGCGATACAGCACCCACTGCGCGAGATGCGCCTTTGGGTCCAGTGCAGGAACGTAAAGATAGAAGAGACGATGGATTTGAATGAGATATCCTGGCTTGGCATTGTGAGGCATTAGCGACGGCGCGAGGGAAGTTGGGGAAGCATCCGCATATGATACACAGGATAGCAGGATAGGATGTACATCAATCGAGTGACAGTGACGTCGTTGCTGCCTCTTGCCACCTGACAAACGTTGTGCCTTCCTTGCGGCCAGGAACCCGCTAGCGCCCTCCAGTCAGTCCCGTATCGATTTCTCTGCAACACAACATCATGATCCATAACGCGTCAATGGCGAGAGACCACGAATCCTTTGGCAGCGACACGGCCGGCATTGCTCTCAGAGCTCAACACCGTACCTTCCACTCCCTCTGCCTCTGCCTGACCAGCAAGGCTTTTCAATACCCCCTTCACCAACAACTAGATGGTAGGCAGCAATGCACGGCACAGATAGACAAAGTCAATAAGAACACGAAAAAAATATAAAAATATAAAAATGATGCAAATAAATCTTTCATTCCTATCTCCTCTCTCTCCACCTCCTTCCCTTCCCTATACATCATCATCCACCGGCATATTTATGCCCTCTATTCAACCCTTTCTTTCATCTTCTTCGGTTCGAGCCTAAACTTTTCGAACCAGACCAACATGTACACTACTACACTACTATTCAAGAGACTCTCCTGAGAGCCCCGTAATCCCAAAAAAAATTCCATTCTGTTGGACTTGTGTGGAAATCAAAATACAACGGCGGCGCTAGCGCGAAAATATAGAGAAAAAAAACAAAGAAACGCTTATGATGAGCATGCCCAAGCCCAACCACAACCAATCGAAGCAGGGGGTATCACAGCGCAAATTGTTTTGACCGAAAAAAAAACAAAAAGAAATGCAAGTTTCGCATCGCATCCAGGCAATACATGTTCCAAGAAGAAAAGTTTCTCTTTCCAAGGCTCCAGCCTCCTCGGGTCCAAGTTTGCGATTATGTATTTCTGGGGTCGATGATTAAAGGAGTGTAAATATCGTTGGACTCGTCATACGTGATTGCGGCCGTGTTTGAGTCAACGTGCGCAATACGTTTGAATATCGTTCCCGGGGTGGTATTTTATGTGACATATGAAATCAGATGCTTCTGTATCCTGACCTCGAATCTATCGAGTGACAAGCGTGGCCTTTCATTCGTCTTTTTGAGACTCATGAATTGGTGGGTGTGGTGGGGGTGTTTGTTCTCTGCTAACGTCACTGCTCACGTCGAAAGACGCACGGTTTCGCGGGACGTTGAGGAGTTTTGCACTGCCAGAGGAGAATTGACGGGAGTGTCGTCCGCCTGTCTTTACGCTGGTGGCGCGCTCGATTTGTGCCTGTGGTGATTCTGGTTCGGATTCGTCGGAGTCGTCGGCATGTTCGAAGCGCTCGTATGGCATTTCTACTGCCTCTTGTGCTGAGAACTCTTGTACGAGCCCTTCTCGGGACCGTAGACGTGGGTCATGCTCGACCAGCGTAGGTTTCCTGCGCATGCTCTCGTGGACAGTGAATGGCTCACCCGGCGACGGATCTGGCTGAGTTTCTTCCTCGCTTTCTTCTTCTTGGCTATTGAGACCACGACCACGTGAGCTTGTGTTTCTGCTGAGGTACTCGGCATCTTTGTCGACGCCAAGCTCCTCGTAGCTGGCAGTAAATTCCGCATTCTTCTTGGCAAAGGACTTGCTTAAGGCTGACTGATGGGACTGACGCTTGAGAGAGCCACTCGCTAGCCAAGATCCTTCAGAGTCGATCGAAGCAAGCGAGCCCGACATCTGATGCCGGCTGCGCAAATTTTGGCTGACAGGAGTGTCGTTACGATTGCCCATGATGACGTCGCCTTCGGCATCTCTCTGCTTTTTCACAGGAATGTCCAGTGGTACAGATTTGATTGGTGCTCGGAATGCGGCTGCAGCAGCGGCGGAGGTTGCAACATCGGGAGACTGCGTTCTAGAGTCAGGCGGCGAGATTGGCATTCCTGGGAGGTCTTCTCTAAATTTGCTCTGGGTGCGAACTGGTGTGCCAGACTTTGACAAATATGTTCCAGGACGGGGAGGATCAGTGCCCACGAAATGGGCTGGGAGTGGCTGATTCCTCATCGATTCACGCGAAGTGTTCGAGAACGAACTCTGGGCCGGCTCCTTTGGCTCAGCGACACTTTTGCGGAAGGTGCCACCGCGCCTGAAGATGTTCGCCCAAGTGCCGGTGCGTCTTTCCTGTGGAGCCTGTGGAGGATCTGAGCTTCGACGTTCGACGGGTATCCGTGGTGGGGGCGCAAGGTCGGCCATGCTCTGCTGCGAGATGCTTTCGTGTCGCAGTGCCTCAGCAAGTTGCGACGCGCTCGACATCGCTCGCTGCCCATATATAGGTGACAGTGGCGGCGTGTTTGCTTGCGACATGCGTACAGCCTGAGCTGTTCCGAGAAATGGCTCTTCAGCAGGAGACTCCGCCGTCGTTGGCCGTGCTTCGGCAGGTACATCTCCGGGTTGTGGTGATGCTGGTGGTACTTCAGCAGCATCTGTAAAAGGATTCTCTGGTTCGGGCTGGGGAGCTGCCGGCTGCACTGTTTCAAGTTGGGAGGCCTGAAGTTCTTCGGTTTGGTCAATGCCGAGACCAGCTGGTTCAGGATGAGTGCCGCGTAAAGCAGGATGCACATCGCTTGGAGGAGTAAGTACTCCACGCGCTTGCAGCTGTTCTTCAGCGCGTATTCTCGCCTGTTCGACGCGTCTTCGCTCTTCTGAAGGGCGTCTTTTCCTGCCGCTGTCTGCACGATCGCGACCTTCAGCTTTCGCTTTCAGCTTACGCTCGAGCGTCTCTTGTCGCTCTTGCTGTCGCTTCTCCCTACGCTTCGCATCTCGTTCCATGATAGCTCTAATATCGCTGGCACCAAGATCGTCGGCTTCATTGCCAACTGTGCGTCGCTTCCGGCGTTCGCGTCCATCTTGGTTTGCAGGCGCTTTTTCGCTCGCCCGAAGCGAGTCAATGCGATAGAGAAATCCGGATGAGCTCGGTGGTAAGCTATTTGAAACATACTGTGGCAATCCGGACAGCCGCACCGCGGGACGTGGGCTGAAGATGGCTGCAAAGCTGCCCACTTCCCACCCACGTTGTTCCACGATACCGGACATTGAGGAGTGAATCGATCCTTCCGGAGGCAATGACACGCGAGAGTCGCCATTAAGCCCTCGAATCTTTTTGCTGTCACGTCGAAGTGGGCCATCGCCGGGTCTTTTGGGAATTGGTATTGGTGCGGTCATAGCTCGAATCTCCTCCTCTCGCAAAGTATCATCCTTGCGTTTGGATCTCCCAGAGAACCTACGCGTCGGCGCCCCATAATCGGCCGTACTTCGTTTCGATTGACGTGTTTGAGACTTCTGTAGCTTCGCCAGAGAGTCTTGGCGTTGTACGCTGGTTTGCGACATGGAATGGGGGCGAAAATTGTATGGGATCGGAGGCTTTTCCAGGTCGACAGGTCGAAGATGTGGACTCTGATCCAAGCGTTGTTGGAAGGGCAGAGCTGTGATGTCCTCCCTGCTTGCGGATGAGAGTGGTGGCACGTTCTCCTTGTTGGACGGGTCATTCCGATGCTGGCTGGCGGGCGACTGGGCTTCGCTTGCCGGCCGTGGTCGACCACGCTTGCTATTGCGCCGTGAATTGCGTCGGGGTATGGGGGGCGTGGCTGTAGCGGATCGTGGTCCGGGGCTGTGGGTGAGCGTCGACATCGAAGGAGGGTTTCCCTTCTCCGCCAGCGCTAGCGGGTGTTGCTCTATGGCAGTTGCACTGGGATTATTGGAGCTGGCCCTTCGCCGGCGTCTGAAGGGCCATATGGGCATCGCGGAGGGGGCAAGACTGCGACGGCCTGCTTTGCATGCCTGTAGCGAGCTGTTGTCGCGCGGTGACACGGGTGGTCTCCGTGAGAGGGTCGGGTGGTGATGGTGATGAATCCGGTGGCAGCAGACAGCGGGCTCAGGGCAGAAAGCGCGCGACTCTCTGCACCTGTGGCGCTTGGGTCCGGATGCGCCGCCGACGCTCCAAGGCTGCGCCGAGGGCAACGAGGGCGTGTGGGCGTGTGGGCGGAAAGGTCGAGTCGCTGCGGATAGACGGCTGTGGCTCCAGCGGTTGCGAAAAAGTCGTTGCGCGCCGCCGTTAGGAGAGCGACGATCGGGCAACGGCCTGCCGATTGGCTGGGAAAAAGATTGGGCCAATGTCTGCGCTCAGTGTATGCGCAAGAGATGAAATGAGAGACGAGAAGAGGGCAGCAAAGGGGTGCGGTTGGCGCGCGTCAAATGAGTACAGAGAGTAGGTAGTTGCAGAGAAAGTAGACGAGGCACACGCACGCACGCACGCACAAGCAAAGCAAGCAAGGGAAGAGCTCAAGTCCTTACCGTCAGGTGCACTATCTGGTCACGACTTGCCAGCGCCAGCAGCAGCAGGGATCAGACGCACGGCACGGCAGAGGTGAGTTCTATCCGGGGTTGCGTCAGCCACTTCACCCCTCGCCCCGGGCTCGGGGATTCCGGCCATACGTAAAATCGCTTTTTCTTAGTAGGCCACACGTAAAACTCGACATAGTGGTATATTGTATAGTATATAGACCGGGAAATCGAATGGGGGTGCGGTCAGGGTTAAGAAGCAGTGGATTTCCGTTACATTGGCGACTAAATTGCGACCGTAGATGGTCAAAATGGACCTGCAATCGGCCTCCGCGCAAACCTCTTATCAACTAAGTAATCAAGCGCCTGCCAAGGATTACATAAGAAATGGCGACAGTAAGGTCCTACAGCCACTACATAGTAGCACACACTCGGATAAACTGGCTAATATAATACCTCGACTCGCGGTTCAATACTGTATTCACCTAGATATCTATATGGGACTGGAACCTACCACTATGTCGAGTTTTACGTGTGGCCTACTAAGAAAAAGCGATTTTACGTATGGCCGGAACCCCCGCGAACAGCGGGGAGGAGTGTGTGACGGAACCCCGGATAGAGTGCAGACGGCCAAATCGATCATCGGTCGGTCGCGGCCACGAATGGGCGACGTACTCGTTTTCCCACCAGCTCGGACAGCCGTCCACGCGCGTTTGAGCTTTGCTTTCTTTGTCGTGCCCCGTATACACTATGCTACTGCAGACTTGCATAATTACTGCTTTCTGCCCTCGCTGCTGCAGAGGCGTTGATGACAGCCCACGACATCCCGCCATCAGAGCCTCTGCGTCTGTATATCCTGGATGGCTGTGCATCGATTGGAGCGGGCCCCAAGCGTGGCGCCTGTATACTGTACGTCTTAGGCGAAGCCATTAAAGCCTCTGCCGTGGCGTACGTTGAACCCAAACACTGCATCGTTGCATCGTCGTGGCTACTGCACGTGCCATATCATACTAGTGTTTATATAGCTCGAAGAGCTATAAGTAAAGGCCGAAGAGCTATAAGTAAAGGCTAAGGCGACGAGCGGGGTAGGGTAAGCTAGATTACTATTAGAAACGCTTATAGTAAGATAGTCTAAAATATCTAAAGTAACTACTTCCGGAATACGCCTATAGTAATTACTATCCGGAATACCTATAGCGAGTACTATTCGAAATATCTATAGTACATAGTTCTTTCTAAGTAGGAACGCTTATAGTAAGTACTATCTATAAGGCGTATAGTAAGTCTAATCTAAAACGCCTAAAGTAATTTTAATCTAAAATACTTATAGGAATTCTAATTTAGAATACTTATAATACTAAGTACTATTTAGAACGCGTATAGTAACTCTAATCGGGAGCGCTAATAGTTAGTACTACTATCTATAACGCTTATACTAAGTTTTATTTAGAACACGCTATATAGTAATTCTAATCTGAAACGTATATACTAAGTCCTATCCGGAACGCGTATAGTAAGTACTATCCGGAACGCGTATAGAAAGTCTAATTCGGAACGCTAATAGTAAGTACTATTAAGAACGCTTATAGCAAGTATGTACTAAGTCTTATCCGGAACGCGTATAGTAAGTCTAACTCGGAACGCTAATAGTAAGTACTATTAAGAACGCTTATAGCAAGTAGTACTATCTAAAATACTAATAGTAAGCACTATTTAGAATACTTACAGCAAGTTATATCCGAAACGCTTATAGTAAATACTACTAAAAACGCTTATAGCGAGTAGCAATATTTGAAACGCTTATAGCGGTAACTATCCGAGGTATCTATAGCAAATAGTACTATCCGGAACGCTTATAGTAAACACTATCTAAAACGCCTATATTCGAACTACTTATAGCGAGTACCCTATATAACGCCTACTACGAGTACCTTATAAAACGCCTATAGCGAGTACTCTATAGAATACCTATAGCGAGCAGTACTACCCGGAACGCGTAGGATAAGCCTTATTTTAAACGCTTAGTATAGTTAGTCCTATATAAACCGGAACGTATATAGCAAGTCTTATCCGAAACTAAATACCTATATTAAGTACTGTCCGGAAGGCTTATAGCGAGTAGTGCTGTCCGGAACGCTTATAGTAAATACTATCTAAAACGCCTATAGTAAATAGTATTCGAACTACCTATAGCGAGTACCCTATATAACGCCTACTACGAGTATCCTATAGGACGCCTATAGCGAGTACTCTATAGAATATCTGTAATACTAAGAATAAGTCTAATTTAGAACGCTTATAATACTAAGTACTATTCGGAACGTATATAGTAAGTCTAATCCGAAGCGCTAATAGTTAGTACTACTATCTATAACGCTTATACTAAGTTTTATTTAAAACGCGCTATATAGTAATTCTAATCTAAACGCTTATACTAAGTCTTATCCGGAACGCGTATAGTAAGTCTAACTCGGAACGCTAATAGTAAGTACTATTAAGAACGCTTATAGTAAGTAGTACTATCTAAAATACCTATAATAAGTACTATTTAGAACACTTATAGTAAGCTATATCCGATACGCTTAGCCTTTCGAGTATACCGCCTCGAGTAAATATCCCCGGATTAGGCGTAAACGACTATATAGCCTCGAGTAAATACTACCGGATCGGGCGTAAAAGATATATATAGTATCGGAAATACTACTATTATAGCGGCGAAGCCTTACGATACATACTACGACTACTATGTCCTCCGAACCGGTCGCGAACTAAGGAGTTTTAACGTTCCTCGGATATAGCTAATTAGAGGCGGCTTTTAGATCGTTTTAAGCCGTACTAAGCCTAAAGTAGACCTACGGTTTGTTAAGTTATTATTATATTAGAGATAGCGTAACCGCGTAATACCGCCGCGAGCAAATACCGCCGGATTAGGCCTAAAAGTTAGATATACCCTTCCGGAATACTACTATCGCGGCGGCAACGCGTTATAATATAGACTCCGCGCAATACCGCCGCAAGCAAACACCGCCGGATAAGGTATATACGACGAAGACGCCCTTTTCGAGACTACTATCGAAGTTATAGCTCGTCGCGGTATATACTGCGACGTCTACGCCCTTCCGGATCGTAGAGGTGTTAACGTTCCTCGCGTCTACCAATTAGAGGCCGCGGTTGGCCCATTTTAAGCCGCACTAAGCCTAAAGGGGCCCCAACTTTTGTTGAGTTGTTATATTTTAGATAATACTAAAAAGTAATATTAATCCGGAACGCGTTATAGATATTAGAAAGCACTATTTAGAAACGCTTATAGCGAGCACTATTAGGAACGCTTATAGCAAGATAGTCTTAAATATCTATAGTAACTACTTCCGGAATATGCCTATAGTAATTACTATCCGGAATACCTATAGCGAGTACTATTCGAAATATCTATAGTAAGTAGTTCTTTCCGAGTTAGAACGCTTATAGTAAGTACTACCTATAAGGCGTATAGTAAGTACTACCTATAAGGCGGATACTAAGTCTAATCTAAAACGCCTATAGTAATTTTAATCTAAAACACTTATAGGGATTCTTATTTAGAACGCTTATAATACTAAGTACTATTCGGAACGCGTATAGTAAGTCTAATCCGGAGCGCTAATAGTTAGTACTACTATCTATAACGCCTATACTAAGTTTTATTTAGAACGCGCTATATAGTAATTCTAATCCGAAACGCTTATACTAAGTCTTATCCGGAACGCGTATAGTAAGTACTATCCGGAACGCGTATAGTAGGTCTAATTCGGAACGGTAATAGTAAGTACTATTACGAACGCTTATAGTAAGTAGTACTTTCTAAAATACCTATAGTAAGTACTATTTAAAATACTTATAGCAAGTTATATCCGAAACGCTTATAGTAAATACTACTAAAAACGCCTATAGCGAGTAGTAATATTCGAAACGCCTATAGCGGTAACTATCTAAGATATCTATAGCGAGTAGTACTATCCGGAACGCGTAGAACAAGCCTTATTTTAAACGCTTAGTATAGTTAGTTCTATATAAACCGGAACGCGTATAGCAAGTCTAATCCGAAACGCTTATAGGTATTCGAACTGCTTATAGCGAGCGCTAAGTACCCTATATAACGCCTACTACGAGTACCTTATAAAACGCCTATAGCGAGTACTCTATAGAATACCTATAGCGAGTAGTACTATCCGGAACGCGTAGGATAAGCCTTATTTTAAACGCTTAGTATAGTTAGTCCTATATAGGCCGGAACGCGTATAGCAAGTCTAATTTAAAACGCTTATAGAAAGTCTTATCCGGAATATATATAGTAAGTCTAAGTGTAATCCGAAACTAAATACTTATATTAGGTACTACCCGGAAGGCCTAAAGCGAGTAGTACTATCCGGAACGCTTATAGCAAATACTATCTAAAACGCCTATAGCTAAATAGTATTCAAACTATTTATAGCAAGTACCCTATATAACGCCTACTACGAGTGCCCTAAAAAACGCCTATAGCGAGCCGGAATGCGCCAATAGTAATTGCTATCCGGAATACCTATAGCGAGTACTATTCGAAATATCTATAGTAAGTAGTTCTTTCCGAGTTGGAACACTTATAGCAAGTACTGCCTACAAGGCGTATAGTAAGTCTAATTCAAAACGCTTATAGCAACTTTAATCGAAAACAACTATAGGAATTCTAATTTGGAACGCTTATAATACTAAGTACTATTCGGAACGCGTATAGTAAGTCTAATCCGGAGCGCTAACAGTTAGTACTACTATCTATAACGCCTATACTAAGTTTTATTTAGAACGCGCTATATAGTAACTCTAATACGGATCGCCTATACTAAGTCTTATCCGAAACGCGTATAGTAAGTACTATCCGAAACGCGTATAGTAAGTCTAATATAGAACGCTAATAGTAAGTACTACTAAGAACGCCTATAGCAAGTAGTACTTTCTAAAATACCTATAGTAAGTACTATTTAGAATACTTATAGCAAGTTATATCTGAAACGCCTATAGTAAATGCTACTAAAAACGCTTATAGCGAGTAGTATTATTCGAAACGCTTATAGCGGTAACTATCCGAGATATCTATAGCGAGTAGCACTATCCGGAACGCCTATAGCAAATACTATCTAAAACGCCTATAGGCTATAGTAAATAGCATTAGAACTACTTTTAGCGGACACCCTATATAACGCCTACTACGAGTACCTTATAAAACGCCTATAGCGAGCACTCTATAGAACACCTATAGCGAGTAGTACTATACGGAACGCGTAGGAGTCGGTAGGACAAGCCTTATTTTAAACGCTTAGTATAGTTAGTCCTATATAAACCGGAACGCGTATACTAAGTCTAATCTAAAACGCTTATAGAAAGTCTTATCCGGAATGTATAAATTAAGTCTAAGTCTAATCCGAAACTAAATACTTATATTAAGCACTATCCGGAAGGCCTATAGCGAGTAGTACTATCCGGAACGCTTATAGCAAATACTATCTAAAACGCCTATAGTTAAATAGCATTCGAACTATCTATAGCGAGTACCCTATATAACGCCTATAGCGAGTACTCTATAGAATATCTATAGCGAGTAGTACTATCCGGAACGCGTAGGATAAGCTAACTATTATCTATAACGCCTATAATAGGTCTAATTCAGAACGCTTATAATACTAAGTACTATTTAGAACGCGTATAGTAAGTCTAATAACTCTAATCCGGAGCGCTAATAGTTAGTACTACTGTCTATAACGCCTATACTAAGTTTTATTTAGAACGCACTATATAGCAATTATAATCCGAAACGCTTGTACTAAGTCTTATCCGGAACGCGTAGAGGAAGTCTATCCGGAACGCAAATAGCAAGTACTATTAGGAACGCTTATAGCAAGTAGGACTATCTAAAATACCTATAGTAAGTCCTATTTAGAATACTTATAGCAAGTCTAATCCGAAACGCTTATAGTAAATACTACTAAAAACGCTTATAGCGAGTAGTAATATTCGAAACGCTTATAGCGGTAACTGTCCGAGATAGCTATAGCGAGTAGTCCTATCCGAAACGCTTATAGTAAATACTATCTAAAACGCCTATAGTTAAATAGGATTCGAACTATTTATAGCGAGTACCTTATCTAACGCCTACTATAAGTACCCTATAAAACGCCTATAGCGAGTAGTACTATCCGGAACGCGTAGGATAAGCCTTTCGAGCCTACCGCTCCGAGCAAATACCGCCGGATTAGGCGCGAACGATACCGCCTCGAGCAAAAAACGCCGCCGGATTAGGCGTAAACGACGGAGACGGCCTCGGAAACACTGCTATCGCGGCGCCGGAGCGTTATAGTCGATACCGCGACTCCTACGCCCTCCGGACTACTCGAGAATCGAGAAATTTTGAAGTTCCTCGCCGCCGACCAATCAGAGTCGGCTTTTCGGTCGTTTTGAGCCGCACTAAGCCTAAAGGGGCCCCAACTTTTGTTGAGTTGTCATATTATTGATGATATTGATGATGATATGGATAGCAGATCGTTCGCACATCGTTGCTCCGTTGCTCCGTCTTTCGCGCAGCGCAGCATGAGTCGTGAAAGCAAGGAATGCCATACTCATGATGCTCGCATACGCATACCCTTACACCAGTACGCTTACGGCACTTCCACCGCACGCGAGCATCATTTTTATGAAGCACCACGCATGCGCTGCTCGTTGTACCTGCGTTGCGGACAGGCGCACTGCACAATTGTAGAACAACGTGTGGAGTTCCGCTGCCGTGGGCTGTAGCATACAGTAGTTCGACGGAAACCTGCATAAGTAGTATTCGCCCTATTGGAATCCTGCATCGAGCTAGTTGTCATGCCGTGTCACCGCTCGTCCTCGACTCTCGAGCAAACAGCACAGCGTTGTCCCCTTGAGCCGGCGCAAGCAACAAAATACTGTACTGCAGTTCTACGGACTGCCATGCAGTACCCGCAACTCTGATTATTCCCTGTGATGAGAGAGGTGGACTCCGCGAGACGATCTTGGCAAAGGCGAGTGGTAGGGAATATTTCGATGCTGGGCTGATGCGGGTTGGGCTGGACCGAAGATGTTGAGATTGGCAATACTTGCACGTGATGGGCCAGGCCTGGTGCAAGCAACAAGCAACCAAGCAAGGCCTGCCGTCCGACCTCATCGCTTCCTCCCCCGCAAGCTCGAACTCGTCGCATCGACGTTTTCAATGCTTTGACATGTCTTCTGCCGCGAAGAAAGCTCGATGCTGGGTAGAATTGAAGTGGGACAGTCGATAGAGTCGTAAACGGAGGAGCTGTGCCTTCCAGATGAGTCCGTCTGCGTCCCGGTCACTGCAAACACATAATGTTACACAGCCAAGAGCCTGATGTAGAAGCACAGGTCCAAAACAACACGCTTGTAAGGATTTCTCCCAGGGGTAAAATCGCAAAGTGCACAATGAAACAAGCTTCGCAAAGGTGTACTATCGAGACACGAAATCCCTGAGTCTCTGGGACAAATGGCTTCTCGAGCGATCACAGCATGGTATATCTCCAACAGCTCGTCCTGCTTCGATTGAGCGGCCGTTGAAGACATGGAGAGCTGATGAAATTTGGGTGGACCTCAGCAGGACAAGCAATACAGCACGAGACAGTAAGATCAAGGAGAAATGGTGTGTAGGAATGCAGACTTGATACGATTCGAGCACAGACCAATCAGCCCAATGCCTCCAGCTCATCTTTCTGCGCCCGATAAGTATCCTGAGCTTCTCTTTCACGCCTGGAAACCAAAGCCACTTCATCTCGTAGCGCTTCAAGCCGTCCAACCATGCCCGCTTCCTCTCCCATAATCTTCAACCTCCCTACCTCCGTCTCAAGTTTCGTCTTCTCCAAAGCATTTGCAGCTTCCAGAATCTTACCCCGCAAAGTCTTCTGCCTCGCCACATATCCACCTTGATGCTTAGCGAGCTTCTTCTCAACCGCGCTACCTTTCTCCGAGACTTGAGTGATAGCTTCATTGATGTTATCGAAGGACTCGACGAGAAGTTGTTCCTCATCAAGCTCATCTTCCGCATACCCAGCAAGTCCAGGAAGTACCGTCCCTGCATGTGCTCGCTCCCATTCAGCTTCAAAGGCTTTGCCGAAAAGTGCTCGATCTGTGTCTTGGCCCATCTCGAGGACTACTTCCATATTGGCATTCTGCATCAAGACTTCATCGATCTCAGCAATACTTCTGGCTTTTCCTGATACTTTGGCTCCACCGAACTTCGTTGCGTCATGAGCCATAAGAAGCGCCGCCTCTTCTGCAATGCTTCGTTCGATAGGATCTGAGATTTTTCGAGCTGCTTTGAGCATTGCATCAATGTCCACAACCTTGGGTCTTGGAAGACCTTTTTGAACAACCCGTGTCTGTCTTCGGAAGTCTGCGAGCGCTTTGGCATGGGCGATTTGAGCGTTGCGTTTGTCGCGAATGGCGGCATCCTCGGCAGCCAGCTCAGCGGCCGCAGCGAACTCGTCTCGCTCTTCAGGCATGGCTTCCAATTCCCATTCCGTCTGTTGAGGCTTAGGCAGGGACGAAAGCTTCGATCTAAGAGATGACTTGGCAGCTTGCTCATGTAGTCGGATGTCACGAGGTGTCTGCCCGACCAATTGCATCGAACCGTCTTCTTGATTCAGCCGAAAAGAGTCCCTGGCAGGTGTTCGAATAGGAGTCGCTCCAACGCCATTCTGTTGAACTCTGAAAGGAGTGGCCATTGGGTTGGGAGTAGCATGCGCTTGCTTTGACGGGGCAACACCTCCGTAGCCAGTTGTCGAGCTGTCTTCGGCCAGGACAGTGTTCTCACCTCCAAGAAGCACAGACTGCGTCTCTGTTCTTGCACGAGCATTCCGAAGCTCGTTCGCAATGCGATCCTCTTCTTGCGGTGCTCTTGGGGTGCGTATAGGCGTTGCGCCAACGGTACTGTCATACTTGCTAATGAGACCTCTGGTTGCCTCGTTCTCACTGGCTCCTGCTGATACATGTGCCCGTTCACCAGACATGCCCATCTTCACAATATCTTCAAGCTCTGCCTCGCTGACCTGAGGTGCAGGCAAGACAAGGCCTCTTCGCTTGCTGCTCATTTCTGCTTCGCGAATTCGCTGTGCTTGACCAGCTTTGGCAGCAGCAGCAAAAGCAGATGCGCCACTATCGTCTTTCCGTCTCTTGGACGACTGTTGCTGCTCTTGATCCTTGCCATCTCCCTTCCGCTTGTTCGCAAGCTGTTGCTTTCGCGGGTCAAACTGCTCCCGAGCATGTTCATTCTGTGCCATCTCCTCCTGAGTATCGTAAAACCCCGGAGCGGGGGCCTTTTCGAAGGGAATATCGGCATTGTAGTCCATCTGACCCTTCTTCTTAGTGGTAACCTTGACATTAATGCCAGCATTCTTCAGCTCTCGCCTCTTTTGCAGCACAGCCAATCTTCTGCTCTCCTCCAGCTGCCTTTCTCGCGCTTTCCTCTTTGCCTTCTTTCCCTGTGTATTGGCCAATCTTGCTCTCGCCTCGCTCAGCATCTCCTTCTCGTCTTCATCCATATCAATCGTGTCCGGTCTTGCTGGCTTGCTCTCTGGATCTGGATCCACCTCTCCAGGCCTCAGTCTTCGTACATCGTCTGCACTCGGCGCCTGTGTCTCTCCACCCTCCTGACCCTGCAAGCCAAGTTCGCCGGCTGCCTCACGCTGCTCCGCCTCATCCAGCAGCTTCTGATATCGCTCCAGACATTGCGTAGCTGTACGACCAACGATAGGTGCGATAGTCCGCCATTGCGTTGGCATCAACTTAGCCAGATGCAACAACTTCTCATCCTCCTCGCGACTCCATTCGATCTTGCGAATACCAGGGTCGAGCCATTCTGACCATCGCGCTTTGCATTGCTTGGCTGTCTTGCGCGCAAGCAAAGACGATACTCGCGCCCACTGGTTGAGTCCATATTTTGAGACGGCAGCCTTTAGAATCTCATCCTCAATGTTGGTCCAGACTCCACCTTTGACGACCGGCATGTCCGCGGCTGTGATGTTATGCGAGGTTGACGCTGCTTCGCAAAGATTTGAGGTTGAAGCTGCACCAAGTCGAGCCGCGAGTCAGCGTCGCGGGTGGCTTGGCGTTCACTTACTAGCATGAACTCTAATGGCGACAAAAACGTCTCATGCTCATCTTCTTCTATTCTTCAATTCTGAAAATAATACTCGCATTGCGTTGAAGATATGAGCCTCGCGATACGTTCGATCAGAAAAGGCCCCTCGCTCGCACGGAGTAGCAACATCGCGTTCGTCAGAGCATTCGCCACGACGGTGAAATTACACGCCAAGGACGAACAGCCATCTAAGGATGACCAACAGTTAGCTGCTCGGGCACAAGAAGTCGAGAAGAAGTCGAGTCCATCCAAAACCCAGAAGGAGCTAGATGAAGAGTTAATGCGCAAACTAGCTGGCATTTCTGGTGATGGTGGCGAATCTGGAGTTGAATACGAAGATGGCAAGCCAGTTGCTATGAAGCGAGGAGTCAAGAACAATATGTTCCGCTTGATCTGACGGAGTTGCCATTGACATGATGTTGCTCAGCAATGGAACCTCAATATCGCACTCGAATCGAATCCCAAGCCATATCTGGCTGCTTGGCAGAGCTGGTCAGCCCTGGCCTAATGAGTTCTGGCATTGTCTCTCATCAACGCGGATATTTGGCCGCAAGACAACATCATAGCCAACACTCCACGATATGTACTGAGAACTTACGCAGCCGACGGAAATGTGGTTTGTCTGGCTTAGCATTTCCGCTAAAACGTCAAGTTTGAGGCTCTTGGATCCACGACACCGTAAGGCCGTACTGTGGGGCTTCCAAGAAACCGAGACAGCTTGACGTCTTCCCTACCGTTGGTCGGATATACTCGAAAGTGCCAGGCGAGAGATGCTAGCAGCAGCCTGAAATCAGAACACATGTATACTTGGCTGGGATGATCGCCAGTGTCGAGATGGTCGCAAAAAGTAGTGTTATCTGTGCGAAACAGAAGCAGATGCGAATTGTAAAAAGCAAGAAGGAACAACTCCGGACATGGTGGAGGGGACAGTGTGTAAGAGCTCCGTCCAGATCACGCATGAAAACGTGTAGAGATGAGTGAGCAGAATTATGTGACAGAGCACAGAGTACCTACTTCATCCTTGCCATATTATAATTTATGGCGACCTCTTACACAGTAGATCCTGGAAAGAATTTCTCTAGCCATTGGTCGTTTTTTCAGTCGGAACAGAATCCTCTCATAACGGCAGCGGAATGCGAGGGTGACCGCGAATGCGGATTGTTGTTCCAGCTGTAGACGCGCCAAGCCGAATGTCATCAAGCGTTGTTTACTATAACGAGCCATTACCTGCCATCCAATAGCAAGTCAGCGTTGGAAAAGTATCCGGTCGATTAGCTCAGTTGGTTAGAGCGTGGTGCTAATACCTCTGGTATTGAAACGCCAAGGTCGCGGGTTCGACCCCCTCATTGACCATTCTTTTTGCCGCTCTTGGCTCATCATGTTGAGCCTTGCTCTTGCTCTGCCTTTTTGACAAGTCGACATTCTGATCACGCGTTCGGGCATGGAGATTTTGGTACCGCAAAATTGTGAGAATCTTCTTCGAAACGCGTCTGCCGTTCGCGACTTTTGCTACCGTTCCATTCTTATCAGCACACCGGCCATCAATGTCTTCCAAGATACTCCCGACGAATGTGTTACAAAGTTCCGATCAAGCAATCTCGAGCGATGTCTGCTCTGCTGCAACCCCTGGGAGCAGTCCATCCTGCTCAGTCGCAATCCTATTTGCCTTTCATCCATTCGCGGCCTCGATTCAACAACCCAAATCCGATCTGAAGAGGTGCGACCCAATCTCGCACAACACCCATTACACTTAGACAGAGTCGCTCAATGGCAGCCGAACGGACGCACCGTCCTTGACTTGACCAGCAGGCCTGTTAATCTGGAATGCTCCACGTGGCATGTTCACTCCGTCGCGCTGGAAACTGTCGTAAAATTGTCCAAGCACGCCTGTCAGGAACGCGTCGCTGAGACCGCGGGCGCTGAATGAAGCATTGGGCGAAGAATTATTGGGTGTGTTTGTGATTGGCTGGTCGGAAAGTTCGGAAGCTAGCCCTAATTACTAATCTATCACGTGCACTCGGTCGCAGCTTGATTCTTCATGCCCACAAGCCTGATGGGAGGTCACAGGCAACGTTGGTGTCAACACTCTCCATTGGCTTGCAGAACCGCTGAAAATAGCTGGCAAGGTGCTGTACTGAAGCCGCACCAAGAATTGCGGTCAATGCAATCCATCCATCGGGTCGCAGCAATAGCACTGTACCACCCCTTCCAACTCCGTAACGGCGATGTCCAGCACCTCCGCAGTCAAAAAAGCTCCGCTCCGCCCAAGCGGCTGTCTTTCCATCAGCTCGAACGCGGAGGCTGTCGGTTCTGGTAAAATGGGGATCAAGTCAAGAATTTCTGCACCCTAGGAATCAGCCAAGCTCAATTTGTGCCCTTTGTCGGCTTCACCTACCTTGGTCATGCAGGTCTTGCAGCAGAGAAGAGCTTTCGATTGCTTCAACGAAGCTACCAACTGCACATCTACGCAAGCAACTCTCAACTGCCACATCCGGCTAGCGTTCTGCAACAGCCAAGGTTTGTACCTGCATACGAACCGGCATGGGTAGATAAGACCTAGATAGGCCGTCGGGCGACCGAGATGTCCTTCGGCGAGCCACGAACGTCAGCTCAGTGATCTGGACATTGATGGACACAGGTTCTAGCAGCATCGCAGACATGGAGCAGGAAACATTTGATCTAGTCATCGCCAATGGCATCGTAGTCAATGCCAACGAAAAGAAGCATGCCGATGTTGCCATTAAGGGAAACACAATAGCCGCCATTCGGGAGCGAGGTGGTTTCACAAATGCTACTACGACGAGAACTATCGATGCAGAAGGCGGCTGGGTAATGCCAGGCGGCATAGTAAGTTGAGCTTTCAGCGCTTGATCTTCGTTGTCACTGACGCCTCGCAGGATGCTCACGTACGAATGCAACTTGTTGATTGAGGGTGACGAAATCAAGCTCACCTAGCCAGGTCCATCTTCAAGAGCCACAGCTGTTTGGCAAAGGCTCTTGCGCAGACACCTTCGAGACCGGAACCAGATCTGCAGTTTGTGGTGGGACTACAACAGTCATTGGTATGCAAACAACTTTTAGGGATCTGAAGCTGTCATCTTAATTCAGGATACTTAGCGTTCGCGCCTCAATCGAAGGCCCAGAACAGTCTGCTTGCCGTCCTTGAGACGACCCATGCCAAAGCCAAGGGAACATGCTACTGCGATTACTCCTTCCACCTCCTAGTCAGCAACCCCAGCGAGCAGGCCCTCGCAGAATTCCCAGCTCTCCGCTCAGCAGGAATTTCCTCCCTAAAAATCTACATGACCTACGAAGCCCTCGAACTCTCCGACATCCAAATTCTAGACGTCCTCCTCGAAGCCCGCAAACAAAAAATCACAACCATGATCCACGCCGAAAACAACGACATGATCGTCTGGATGACAAAACAACTCGATGCCCGAAAGCTCTACGCACCAAAATACCACGCCACATCCCACCCCCCTCTCGCAGAAATCGAAGCCACATACCGAGCAATCTGCCTCTCAGAAATCATCGACGTCCCCATCCTCCTCGTCCACGTCTCATCCCCTGCCTCAGCAGCACATATAAAAACCGCACAAGATCGCGGTCTACCTCTCTACGCCGAAACATGTCCTCAATACGTCATCCTCACCAAACACGACCTCGACAAACCCGGCTTCGAAGGCGCAAGATGCGTCTGTTCGCCACCTCCGCGCGAAAGTGAAATGGATCACGAAGGCATCTGGACCGGACTCCAAAACGGGACTTTCACAATCTTATCTTCCGATCACTGTCCATTCCTCTACGAGAGTTCCGAAACTGGGAAAAAGACTTGTATCACTCCGGAGTTCCCGAATGGACATTTCAGATATATCCCCAACGGGATCCCGGGTGTTGAGACACGGCTTCCTCTCATTTTATCTTCGGGACGTTTGGAAGTTGAGAGATTCGTGGAATTGACGAGCACGAATCCTGCGAAGCTTTATGGGCTTTTTCCGAGGAAGGGAGTGATTGAGGTGGGTAGTGATGCTGATGTTGTGGTTTGGTATCCTGAGGGTGGGATGCAGGCTTTTGAATTGGGGAATGAGCATTTGCATCATGCTTGTGATTATACGCCGTATGAGAGTAAGGTGATTAAGCAGTGGCCTCGGTATACGATTTTGAGAGGGAAGGTTGTTTGGGATAGGGATGGGGAGGGTTTGGTTGGGGAGAAGGGATATGGGGAGTTTTTGAAACGGGGGCAGAGTTTTTTGAAGGGAAGTTTGAGTGAGGAGGATTGGGATATTCGTGGATTTTGAGATTGGTGGTTTCTTGTGATTTGCTTTCACATCAGAATGCTGATCCTATGCAAGCTCTCCATGGTATCCTCTACTTCATGACTGACGATGCGGGAACCTTCGTTCTCCAACAGTCGATAGCATGATCTCCCATCCATCTCTAGCTCTGTTTGCGATTCACTCCTTCTGCATCCGTAGATGTATCTGTGCAGACGCTCGTGCTGTCGCGCATGCTTTCATGATAATTCGGAAGGAAATAGCTTTTTCAGACTCGCCTTATTCGCCCAGACAATATCTTCCTCTCCACCTCCAGCATCCAGATGCACACTGATCTCGACTGCAGCTGCATGACGGGAACCCAATAAAACCTTCAATCTCACGACCATTGTTTCCAGGAGCCTTTTGTATACCCTGGCAACTCCCAACAGCTTGACAACGAGCTGGAGCCTCTCACAGCGAGGGTTGAAGCGAACCTGTATGGTCGTGATCTTGTCCAGATGAGCTCGAGTCTGTGCGTTCCTCCATCTGGGAAACCAAGTTTCACTGATAGCGAAGCACAGGCAGATGTCGAAACGAAACTTGCTTGATGCAAAGTAGTTCCTGGCCAAGTCTCTGCGTGAGGTTCTGTTGAATTGGAGCTGCCATGGTGTCTGATAGAAGCGGTTGATCTCGGTCTCGGGACCGGGCATCGTCTCGGCGAGGGTCCACTTAAGGATCATGTCTTGCAGCTCTTGAGGCAGTGCTTGGATGCGAGCGTCGATAGTGGTGGGGTGGATGTGGTTCGACATGGTGACGTTGGGGCCGCTCTCAACTCGACGTAACGATGGTGTTATCAGAGATATATATACCAGTAGCGTGGCGTAGCTAAGGCTTCTGGTAGCAATGTTGTTTGCTGTAGTTGTAGCGATTGAGATATTGCAGTCGAGGAAGATGTGATTTGAACGCGTGGCTCTGGGGCAGCCTGAACGTGCTACTTTGTGTGCTGAAGATGTGGAAAGTGCGACCTCTGACTCCAGGAAGGAAAGACCTCATATCTATACAATGTAAATGGCCTGGCAACCTTGCCGGATTCCTGCCCGTCATCCCCATTGCAACTTTCCCAAATCAGTGACTACATGTACCCACTACTAGACTCAAATACCAACTACCGCACGGACGTGCTTCTTGTCAGGCCAGCCTTCCTTCCGGAAATTCGTCACGATGCTTGAAAACCACCTTGATCTGGACTAAGGCGTTTTGTGGCAGTAGCCTGCGTACCTTCATTGCTCCACCAAACGTCGTCAGTCTACCCCCATACCATCCCGCTCCGTAATATCGGCCAACGGGTTGTTTTGATTGTTCGTGAGACGCCCGAGAAAGCGAGAAGAGCGCTTCACAAATTAGGCAATGATCGTGAGATTCACCTTTCCATCAAAGCTTCACTACACGCGCCTAATATTGTTGCCTATGGCTGGCATGAATTTTGAGGCATAGCCCATATTTGTAAACACCACAACGCTTTGTGCTCTCCTTTGATTTTGTTGGCTTTGTGAAAGACCATCAAAGGAGTTCTTCAGGCGGCGAATCACTACCGCGGCACTGCTCGAAACGGGTGGGAAGGCCCTGATCTCAAGATCTTTGTATTACATTCGTAGTTACACGGCATGCCAAGCCGGTGTGTCCCTGGGGTATCTCAGTACTGTAGGTAATTCATGTCATGGAAGGGCATGCAAGAAATAGCTGCCCTTCTCTTCCACCAGCGCCAATGCTGGGTATCGTAGCTTCAGCAACACACTCATCGAAAGCAACAACATCTCTCCGCCTCATGAACTAGAGCCAATGGCCTAGTCCCAACCGTCCTCCTCATCTTCATCTACCTTAGGAACGCTGCTCTTTCGCGGTCGACTTCTCTTCTTCGGCGTTCCAACTTGACCATCGGTCGACTTGCGCTTCTTGCCACGCGGAGCAGGACTCTTGCCGCGACTACCCTCGCTACGGGCGTCATCGTCGTCCTCCATCATAATCTCGTCTTCGTCGCCACTAGCGACCTTCGCTTCGTTGTCGACGGTCATGAGCTCGACAAGGGCTTTGCAAATCTTGAGCTGACTATCTCCATCCTCGGTAGCCGTCATAATCTTGGCGATCTTGCTTTGATAAGTCTCAGTCAGAGCTGGCGCGTTTGTTGCACGAATGGCATTCTTCTCAGCGTCCTTGGCTGCTTTGGCTTTGCCTTTGGCCCCAGCATCGCCATACTTCTTTAGTAGCCACATGCTGCGGAGGAAGTTACGGGTTTCGACCAGCAGCGAGAGTATCTGAGCTGACGTGGCAAGCTGCAGCAACTTCTCGGATTCCACAGCGGGAATTGAAGCGGATGCAGGCTGAACCACGGCGTTAGGGTCAGAGTGGCCATCTGGAAGCGTCTCAGAGGTGGCGGGCGCTTGGGACGACACTGGAACCTGAAGCTTGAAGATGTCGGTCTCAATAGCCTGTGTCACAGCAAGGCCAGCACCAGCGTATGCTTTCTCCAGACAAGCCACGGCATGCAGCGGCTCTGTCAACTTGTCGTGGTCTAGGAATGCGATGTTCTCCACGCTGTAGCGCACATAGAGCAGGTGTTGCCGCAAATCTTCGACAGTTGTCATCTTCGCAGGATCGAAGGTTAAAGATCCGCAAAGCTGATCGAAGAACTTCGTACGGTTCTTCTGGAAGCCGACAGTCTTTACTGCATCCCAGAAGTAGTGAAGCTTGGAGACCGGCGGGTGGCCAGTGAAGCCCACAAGGTCGTTGGCAACATTTCGCTGGTATTCATAGGACAATATCACCGACTTCAGCATCGTCTTCTCCAAAACGCTGTTGTACGTGAAGAACTGTTGCTTGTAGGACAGAAAGGCGATCTTGGCTATGGCTGGCACAGGACAGGTCATAAGCGCTACTAGGCCAGGCGCGCTGTCGCTAGGGTTCATCAGCCCCATCCGATTGACGCTGGCCACCGTTCTTGCAGCGCCAAGAGCTGCCTCGTCGAGCGAAGTAGTGGCAATCCTGAGGATGGAGTGCATGAACCGCTGACACAACGAGTTCAGAGCAACGTCAGCACCCTCGGCCTGATAAGTGTTGCCAAGACGCTGAGCTCCGCTTGCGATTCCTGATCCAGCTTCTGGGGCATCTGGATCATCCGGAGGCTTCTCGCTGGACGTGAAAAACGTCTCGAAACTGGAAATCAGCACTTCCTCCAAGACTGCTTCTTTGGCATCGAAGACCATCTCAATGGCATTGTTTACGTCGGCACGTAGATAGTTCTTTGGATAGGTGTGGCTAATCGCGCATATAGCGTCCAGAGCAGCCTCTCGAACTATCATCGGATGCTTGGGGCTGGTAAACTTGCAGCAGATTTCTGCCATAAGGCCGGCGACGGAATTGCCTTTGTACCAGTTCAGCCGAGGAGAAGCTTTGAAGGAGTTCAGATTGTCGTCGAACTGACAAGCCTTGCCAAATTGGCCAATGATGACCAGCAGCTTGCGGACTTTAGGTGGTATTCTCTCGTCCTCAAGCACAGTTCTCTGCATGCTGCAGACTCCTACAAGTGCTGAGATGATAAAGTTGATGAGGCGCACCCGATTGCCGATTAACGAATCAATGGTCCAGAGACAGGGCGCAATCACAGAGAGCTCCGCTTTGCTCACCTTGACGATTGCGCCCATGAGGTCGTCTTGTAGCTGTTTCAGGAATGCAACATTGAGACCAGTCAGTTCGGGCATGGTATATCTCAAGATTGTGATCACGGCACGGAACATTTCGAGCTCGTCATCTGTCTGCAAATTTCTGGAGTATGGCCCAAGGAGCTCCAGCTGCGAGGCAAGGAAGATCTCTGGCACAGTCTTCGAAAAGACTATCAGAGTGCGTAATATCGTCTCTTGTGAGGGCTCGCTCGGGATCTGGCTGCTATCGAGGAGGCCATCGAAGAGGACGCGAACGAAAGCTTTGCAGATCCGCTTGTTGTCGACAGCTTGCTTTGATTTGGTCAACAAGGTCTTCAGGAGCGCTTCCAGCACTGAAGCGACATTATCGCCAAGATCTACAGTCTGTACGATCAAGGCAACTTGTCCGGCAAGTTGAAGCTGGAAATCCACTGAACGATCTTGACCGCTGCCGGGTTCTCTGAATGCAGAAAACCATATTTCCTCGATGGTGGCACGAGCGGCTTCCACCACACTCTCATCGACATCGTGAATTCTCGAAATCGTTGCATTCGAGATCTTTGCGCGAACTCGATTGTCATGGACATGCAGGTACACCTGCTTCAAGAATGCCATTGCCCTCTTGCGCACCTGGTGGCTCGCGTCCGTTGTCCGCTCTACTATCTTCTCGTAGACTTTCAGCTCCAGCGCTGGCCGAATCGCAACGCACTTTTGTATCAGGTTCAGAGCAGAATCTCTTACGAGAGAGGACGGATCGCTGAGGGATCGCAGAATCTGTCTCAGGACTGCCTCGTTGCGGTCGAGGATGGCGGCATCTTTCTCCAACAGGGTGGTCACACTCTTTAGAGCACGACTTCTCACCGTCGGCTGCTGACTTCCCATTGACTGAGTGACTCTTTGAATTATGTTGGGTAACGCACGGCACAAAGATGAGTTGGCGGTGACAATTTTTGCTGCAAGCTTGCCTTGCGCTGTAGTGGGTTGCGCAAAAGAGGAATGGTCTTCGAGCCAATTGATGTCCAACATCATACATCGAATCTTATTCTCCAGTGCCGTGGTAGAAGACGATAGGTGGTTTTCTCCCTTGCTCTTCACGTGAATGACCGCATCCGCCCACTGCACCAGATGATAGCCGCGTGCAGATAACAGTTGCGGGTCTCTCTCGACATTTCTGGCATGAAGATACTCGAGAAGCACTCGATATGGTCCTTCAAACGAAGTGACTACAAAGGTGTCCAAGTCGCCAGACTCTGCCTGGCGCGCAATGCTTGCCAGACCTTGCGAAACATGATCTTCCGCATCTGCCATTTGAGCAGCGTCTGCCGTGGCCTTCAGGACATCCATAATACCAGACCCGACGGTGCCCAGAAGCTCCAAGGCAAGTGTACGTGCTGGCGCCGGCTGCTTGCCATCGTCGGCGATCTGCATCAACCGCGCAACAATTTGTCGTAGCAGCACTTCTGCCGCAGGCCAATCGCTCGAGCCCAGAACGTTGATGAAGTCCTCCGTAAAGACATCGAGCAGCCGACGAAATGGATCGTCGGCGTTCGATTTGGCCTTTCCAATAGCGCGCTGAAGGAGCATATTGGCAATGTGCGCGGCTGTCCTGGATGATTCCTGCTGCAGAGGCTTGTAGAGGGCAGTCAGATCAGTCGGACAATTTGCTGCTGATGACTTGCGTGCTTTGTTCTTCTTTGCAGCCTCGGCTGCGATCACATCGTCATCAGATTCGGAGTCCTCGACCTCGGAGTCCTCATCAGACTCATCGTCACCAGAATCTTCTGAATGGCGCAGAGACTTCTTGCTGACAACAGCGCTGCTTTGCACGAGGCGCATCAGTAGCGCAGACATGAGCTGAATTGGCTTTCCGTCGCTAAGCCTAAATTGACGAGCACTCTGCTTGTTCGCTGGCAGCCGCTCCAGCGACAGCAGCATCTCATCGATAATGAATCTCCTCTGGTCGTCGTATTTGGTGAAGATCTTGGATATCACGTTCATCGCAACTTTTCTCATGGCCTCAAAAATCTGAATGCCAAGCGCGGAATCGCGCTCGTTGATAGCGTTGGATGCAAAGATTAGCATTTTGCAGCTGTACACCAGGCTGGAGATGCCAGTCTCGTCAACGTCCGTCTTGGCGAATAGATCTCCAAGGAGAGCCAAAGTCTTCGTAGTAGCGGATACGAGAGATTGCAGCGCACTGCGATTCTCTACAGCGATCTTAAATCTGGGGTTGGCAAGTGCATTCTTGACTTGTTCGCCAAGGGAAGAGCGGAGCTCAACAATTGGCAATATGCAGGTATCGAAGCCGGTACGTAGAGCATCCAGCACCAGTCGAAGACAGTCCTCGGATTGCAATTCCTTACGGTGCGAGCCTCCTGTCATAATGTGCAGCAGCGTCCGAGCTGCGATGATTCCATTCTCGGCATTCTGAAGACGGAACACCCACTCGTTTACATCGTCTTCAGACCAGTCGTCGCCGATTGACAGCGATCCTGAGCCTAATGTAGATACGGACCTCTCGCAGACTCTCTGGATGCGCGTGAGTTGGTCGACTTCGATGCTGTCCAGCCGGTTGTAATTCACAACTTTCTGAAAAGCAGTGTTCAGCAAGGCCTGCACATCGGCTTGAAGGATGAGTGCCGGCCCCTCGTCGGTGTCGTGAGTGCTGAAGTATGGATTCTCACGTACAGGTGCAGCTTCGGAAGTGTCAGGCTGCATCTGGTCTTCAGCCTCGAAGATAGCCTCAAGTTGTGACTGCAGGGCTTCGACAGCTTGATCGGCTTTCCGGCGTTGATCAGAGCTCGCGAGTGTGGCATTATTGGTGAGATAAGCACTTTGGCCTCGGGACGGAGTGCTGTCGCGAGGATCGGGAAGAAGGTCATTGACCTTTTGAAAAGCGGCGCGTTGTGAAGGCGTGAGAGCGGTGGGTTGTACGTAGAGTTTTGCCTTTTGAGATCCACCTGGCGTGCCTTGTACTTCCTGAGAACTGATCTGCTTGGAAATGGGCATCTCAAGGTTCTGCTGCGAAACCCGTTGTTGCTGCTGGTGCGGGGTGTACTGTGCCTGTACTTGCTGAGAAGGACGAGGAATCACTGGCACAAGTGCAACCGGGGTGCCCTTTGCCCGCTGCTGAATTGATGCAGTGTGTGGTTGTTGCGCAGGAGATGGCTTTTGTGGGTGCGGCGTTCCTTTCGATGGCTGCTCTGCGGCCGCAGACCGCGGCTTTTGCTGCGAATGGGTTGAAGTCTGCGGTTTTGGGACGACCTTTGGCGTTTGTGTGGGTACAGGCGCTGGTAAATTGGCAGCGGAAGACTGTGGTCCTGCTGGCTGCTGTACTCGTCCGTTCGGCGCCGCTGACTTGGCTTGCGAAGAGCCTGGCTCCTCTGGCGGAGTCAGATACCGATGCGGCTCCTTGACGCCATCAAAGACCATCTTCGCAAAAGAGCTTAACTTCGGCTGTTGTGGTGGCTGATCTGTTGCGTCTTTCGTCTTTGGCCGCTTCGTCTCCCTGAACTTGTAGTTGGTCAAGTTCTCAGCGAGCAGAAGTTTCTGAATATCATTGAGCGTAGTCTCACATCGCTTAGACGCTTGTTCTGCGCTCGTGGCTCCAGCAGTCAACCGCTCCAACTCTCGTCGCGTTTTCTTAATCGCTTCGTCGTTCTCAAAGACAGCTGGCGAAGTAGTGGACAATGCGAGTGGTGTATGCATGATGTCTGCAAGGAGAGGAAATTGAAGTGTTAGCAACGGTGAAGCTTGTATTGTCAATATCTTATGTTCGAAGTGGCTGCGGGGACCAGTGAGGTCATGCAGGCACCAATCTACTTACCAGGATTGAAAGGGACGATGGAGCTGAAAGGCGAAAATGGGAGAGCTTCAGCAACAGTCGGGACCCGCAGCCTGCTCTCATGGGGGCGAGCGTCTGGAGGGAAGCCGTTTGTCTGCGGCCTCGCAGCACTTCCGGCAGCATATCCATGTCCTCCACCATTCTGCATCAGCTGCCTCGGATCTAGCGTCCCGTCCTCCATCTTCTCTATATCAGAGCAAGTCTCTCAGTTGCTTGTAGTGTCCATGTCGCGCGCAATGCCGGACTGCGATATCTGCGACGCGAATCGGTTGTCCGCATGCGGAGTTCTCTCGGCGGTCTGGTATGCGCGTCGTAGCGTGGTATGTCGCTAAGTCGTCCAGCATGAAACGACCGCGAGGATGGAATCTCGCGATGCGTCTATGATGTTTTGCGCTCAGGAGAACGCCCCACAGGAGGTTGTTCAAGCGAGTGTCGATGCGATGAAGTTCATCTGTAGAGAACGGGAACCTCACGAGGCGCGTTTGAAGTGCCGCCAAGACCTGCTGATCCCGACTGCCGATCTCCCGATCCCGCATTTTGCATGGGCGATCCCAGTCTCTTCCCGCTTTGACACTTCGCTCCAGAAAATAGTGAGGCAAGTTCAGCTTCACTTGTGCCACACTCGCCGCTCATCTGCACGTGCAGGTCTCAGATAATCAGCGACAATCGCTGGCGTGAATATGGCGGCAATCGGGTCTTTGGTCTTCTGCACCGATTGTGGAACTCTGCTGGATGCGAATACTGGTCGCAAGGAGCACATTGAATGTGATGTCTGCGGGACTTTGAATAAGGGTGAGTATATGTTTGGTATCGAAAAATCGGGTAAATGCTTATTGTACGCTCAGATACTTCAATCAAGAAGGTTGTGACAACCTCCAAACCATCGGCATTCCCATCAACTCTCCGGACCAGGTTGCGTTCAGATGTTCAAGAAATTTCTGAAGGCGATATGCAAACCGATGCGGTGATCAAGCAACCTTGCGAGAAGTGCGGCAATGAGGAGGTGCGATTCTATACACAGCAGTTGCGATCGGCCGACGAAGGTAGCACGGTCTTCTACACTTGCCCAAGGTGTAACCACAAATGGAACACGAACAACTGAGCAAGACACATCTTTCTGGATTTCGTGTTCCATCTACCTGCTCCTACTCTAGAAACGAGCAATATAATATATCTCGGAATGAAAAGCTCTCTGGATCTCCGTCGGCATCAACGGCAATGGACTAAGACCTCTTACGAAAGTTTCTGCCATGAGGATCAACAACCATATCAACCTCACACTAGCACTCCAGCGATCTCATGCACAAGGAATGACTTCAGCTGAATATTTATCCCTCGTCCTCACAGGCATCTGTCTTTTTCTGACGCAGGACGCATCCTGCCGGCAAGCAAATATCCGAGAAGAATCTTTACGCAAAGTTCGCACTTTGACCGAAGAACTGCGGAAGTCAACAATTTGACACTCGAACCCAGTCTACGATTCGCTAACACGACTTGAACTTGGAAATTCCCAGACAAGTCCTTGGGTCCTCGATCAGAGATCCGTATTGAGTCTCGGCGTGGCGACAAAGCGGATCAACCTCGATATGAACACAACTGCCATCCATGGCTCTGTTTGCGTTAGACGAGCATCCATATAGGACAAATTGAAGAGAAGTGAGCCGGTGATGTCCGCGTGTTGCTTAGCTGCCTCTATCATTTCGTCGCGACCTGTTGGAAAATGCGGAGGGATAAATCCTGAGTGTCGAACCAGCTAAAAGCTCCGATTTTGTGCGTTTGTTTTCAAACGCCTAGCCATGAACATTTGGGTATTTCCAAGAATGATTACTCTCAGCCATGCACGTTCAAAGCAAGAAGAATCCCGCTTCAGTCTTAATGCATACCATCCGCCATTTCTTCCTCAACCATTTTCCTTTCCTCATCTACGCAGCAACCGCTTCCGGCACAGTTGCATAATCCATCTGCCCACTCTTCTCATACTCAGCCATATCCAAAGCAACAACAATACTATCCCTAACAACCTGTTCCGGATCATTCAGAAACCGCTTCAACGTCTCCTCCACTCCCTCTTCCTCCCCAAGACTCCCCAGCGCCTCAGCAGCCTCATGTCTCACCATACTCGCCTCCTTCAAATCCCCCAAACACTCCGTCAAAGCAGGTATACTCGCCGGGTGACTGAGCTGCCCAAATACAAACGCAATCTCATGCCTGAAAAGCGCAGAAGAGTCCTTGAACCCTGTCGCCAACGCATGAATCGCGGGAACAGCAGTCGGAAGATCCGGTGGAGAAGCCAAATCGCGAAGAGCGAACATGGCTCTATAGCGTTTGAAAAGCGGCAGGGAAGAGTCCATGAGCGTCTTCCGTAAACCCTCAATATCCGCACTCCCTTCTTGTTCCTCACTCGGAGGCGCAGGATCAATACTGGCAAAATCACTTCTCCTCAATTTCTCGGCTTTTCTCGCCTCACTGAACTCCCACTCAATCCTCTCAATCGCAATCTCGCACGTCTCTCTCACAACTTTTTCCTCAGTCTCATCATCCCTCCTCTCCTTCAACAGCTCAAGACTCGTCTGATCTCCCAACGCGCCAATAGCTTCTGCAGCTTCATGTCTGCACATGGCATCTTCATTGCGGTTTTGAATTACGGCGCGGAGGTATGGAATTGCCTCAGGTTTTCCGGATTGTCCGAGACAGTATGCCAGTTCGTGTTTTAGGAGTGCGGAGGGAGATACGAAGGCTGCGGCTATGGCTTCGATTGCTGGGATTGTTTGGGATGTTGGAGGGGTTTGGGATGCGAGATGCTTGAGAGAGAAGAGGGCGCGGAAACGTTTGGCGAGAGCGACGGATTCGGATGTCAGGTCTGCTCGGAGGAGGGAGACGGTGGGATCTGGAGTGACTGCCATGGTGGGTGATAGATGAGGGGAGTGTAGTAGGCAGAGTGGCTCGAAATGTATTGCACTTGGATGTGGAATTTTAGAATCTAATCTGATCATCGCGGGGCTCTCAAATTCCCGGCCTTGGAACTGAGACCCTGAAAGGCTGAAACATGGCATCGGGTTCGGGACCAAGCTCAAGTTCCCTTTCACATGCCAATCTCCCAATCTTCACTCTACCTCTCCATCCTGTTCAACGCCCATATACAAGAATCATGTCAATAAGTGGTCCTACCACAGGCCAACTCCTCCCAGACTCTGCAATACAACGCGTCCTCTTCATAACCCCGACAGTCCACATCTACCAAATCCCCCCAATAACCTCAACCTCCGGCTTCTCTGCCTCAGCCTGGACCAATGCTTCCCGCCCGACGGCGCAGCAAATCTTCACAGCACGTCTCCGCATCCTGGAAACCTCAGTCGAATCGAAAATCAAAGTCGACATCCTCCTCGAAGACCCTGCAACAGGAGACCTCTTCGCAGCAGCACCTTACACCTCACCTGCCGTGATCCAACAAGCGAATGATTCTTCGAGGTTCTTTGCGATTAGGGTTGTAGGGGAGAGAGGGATGAAAGCTACACTGGGATTGGGGTTTGAGGATCGGAGTCCGGCGTTTGATTTTGGGATTGCGTTGGTGGAGGCGAGGAAAGTTCTTGGGATGGATGCTAATGGTGGGGTGGGCAGTTCGCGGGAGAGGGAAGAAAAATTGAGGAAGAAGATGGAGGGGGATTTGAAGAAGGATTTTAGTTTGAAAGAGGGGGAGAAGATTCATGTTAACATTGGGAGGAGGGGGCAAGGGAAGCAAGTGGAAGAAGCAAATGGTGGACAGCAAGAGAATGATGGTGCTGCGTTGTTTTCTATTGCGCCGCCGCCACCACCCGCTGCAGCAGCAGGAAAGGTAGATGCCTTTGCGACGCCTGCTGATACGCATGGCAAGACGGCTCAAGAGTTGGGATTTGACGACGGAGAATTTGGAGAGTTTCAATGAGCTCTGCCCTGGTCGAGTTTCTGATGCTTTCAGGATTTTATATACATTTTGCCCACCAGACCATCGGCAAAATGGGTCGAGGCTCAGCAGCGCTGCTCGAGGCAATCCTTACTGTGGCCGGAAGAGGATGAAGAGTATGCCCATGATCGCAACACCAGTGGCTGCGCCTTGCAGAGCAGTATTGGTCACATCGACCTTACGCATCTGGACGATGCGCTCACTCCAGAGATCCCGGAGATATTCATCGTAGGACTCCCAGGATCCTTTCACGACTTCTCGTGCTGCATCCGTGATATACTGTTTCGGAGGCTCAATTTCCTGCTTCGAGGGCGCCTCTGGTACAGCGCCAGCAAATTTCGAAGCCTCTGGGGGTAAAATTTCCGCGGCAGCAATCGGTGGGTTGCCCGCTGCATCATTGCCGGTCGCAGGTAGGATAGCGTTCAATGGTTGCTGCGATTCCTCCGGCACCACTTCTTTCGAAACCACGACCTGATCGATCTGCCTCTCCGTCTCGGGTTTCACAGAAAGTCCACCAAGCTTTCTATCAAGTAAAGCCTCAACTCTAGCTTCCACACCAGCCTCAACATTCCTCGTAATCTTCTTCCTACGATAAGGCTCAAAAATGGCAATCTGCGCGAGCAACAGAAGAATATTCACACCCATCAGCCCGAATGTGATCCAGGTGCCATTTCTCCTAATCGTATCACTCCAGATCTGCTCTTCGTGGTACTGCTTTCCCCGAAGTCTCTCTAGTAATAACCTACTATCCTCCAACTCCTTCTCCGCAGTACTCAAATCCTCTTTCGCATTCATGACATCCTGTTCATTTAAATGCTCGCTCCTCACTAGGGACATATACCTCTCCAAATCCCCTGGAGTCCAACTACTCTTTCGTTCCAGTAAGGCGACAATTTCTCTTTGCGCTGCGGATTGTTTCCGATGTGCTTCGGAATGTGCGTTTCGCTTTTCTTCCACACGGACATAGTATGTCCTTACCTTTTCTTCCTGTTGCACAATTTCCTGGCGCAAAGCTTCTATGCCTGAGTAGTCTGTGCCTGTGTGGGCGTTGATGTATTTTGAGGCTTCAGAGGCTTTGACGAGGAGTTCGTCGAGAATTTTCGAGGTTCGTCTGGAGAATGGAGAACGTTTCGATTCCGAGACCGAAGGCAGGGAGTCTGATTTCTCAGCTGGTGTCTTCGAGGGTTGAACGATGGCCGGTTGAGGACTTGATGGTATGGAGTCTGGCGTAGCATCTTCTGCTTGTGAGGGTTGTGATGGCGGTATTGATATTGTGTCCGACTTTGACGGAGCTGCCTTCTTCTCATCCTGCCGTAATCGTACTGTGTTCGAAAATGGTCGTCTCCAATCCGTTCCGGCATTGATGCGAGCTCCAGTGCTTCGGCCGTTTCTGCTTGCGGGGGCTCTGCAGGTACAATGCGGGCATGTCCATGGCTTCGGCGTGCCTTGGCCAGTTCGCTGCGCTGTCCATCTTACCGCATCGCCTATCCGTAGTATAGGCCGTCGAGCTACAATCATATTCGGGATAGGAGATGTAGGACCTGCTCCCGAGCTCCCACAGCAGTTTGATGCCGCTGTACACGCGAGACAAAAGCTCGGACATTCACGTCATTCGGAAGCACTCCGGAAGGTTTCCGGCGCTTACAGCTGCCGCGGAAGAAATGAAGCCCAAGCATGCGCCGCCCTAGTAGTCTAGTTAACAGTTGATTGGAAATTTATTGAACATTGATTAAAGCCCCCGGCGCAGGACCACTACTAGTAGGTAATTGCTGAGACCTCCGTATAGCAGGTCTCACTGTCTCATCACACAGTCGCTCAATTCCCTGTTTCACCAGGCACATGTTTTACCCGGATCCTGGATTCGAGAGATCTGATTGGCTGTAATCTACACGAACTGACCGAACTGGTGGGACGGTAGAACTCGGTCCGAGAACAGACAGCCTCAGGCAAATCTCTCGCCTCCTAAAGATACTGCGACAACGACGACAACGATAGCGCTGGCGAGAAATCGACCGAACAAGAGTACCTCGCTACGACCGAATAAGAGTGCCTCGCTACCACCGCGAAGCGACCGAAGCGGGACCGCGGCTGTGCATCAAGGCAGTATACTATAAGGCGGAAGCTTCGCTCGCACTTTCTGCCAACACATATCTTTCACAATCTCTGTCAATTGACCTCCTCTTTGGCCTCACAAATTGGAAGATTTTGTCAAGATGGTCGGCACAGAGGAGCTCACGGCATTGACCTTCCCATTCAAGAACCCAAAGTTCATCTTCTTCACGGACTTCGATGGCACAATCACGTTGCAGGACAGCAATGATTACATGGTTAGTAAAGACCTTCGAGACGTAGTCGGAGCATGGTTGACCGACAATGCAGACAGATACCATAGGCTTCGGTGGCGAGAAGAGACGCCAAGGCAACAGAGATGTTCTCGAGGGCAAGGACTCATTCAGGTAATTCCAACCGCGGGACAGGTCCGCCTGATCCGAACTGTAGGAATTGACATAGCCAGGGAATCTTTCCGCAAGATGTTGGACTCGGTCACGATGCCGTTCCCACAATGTATCGACTTCCACGTTCAGAACATCAAGCTGGATCCCGGTTTCAGCGAGTACTTCCAGTGGGCCCTTTCGCAGAACATTCCGACTGTCGTCGTGAGTTCTGGTATGGAACCTATCATTCGTGCTATCTTGAAAAATTTGATTGGCCCAGATCATGAGAAGCTCGACATTATTTCCAACCATGTTGAGGCAAGGCCCGGAAAGACGATCGACCAGGAGGGCGGGTGGCAGATTAAGTATCATGATGACAGGTGAGTAGATCAGGTCCTAGCTGCGTGTTGATGCTGACTAAATACAGTGGCTTTGGACACGACAAGTCTTTGACTCTCCGACCCTACGCCAACCTTCCAGCGGATAAGCGACCAACACTATTCTATGCAGGCGATGGCGTCTCCGATCTTTCTGCTGCACGCGAGACAGACTTGCTTTTTGCCAAGAAGGGTCATGACTTGATCCGCTACTGCGTCAAGGAGGACATTCCGTTCACTGTATTTGAGGATTGGACAGACATTCTCAAGGTCGTCAAGCAGATCGTCGCGGGCGAGAAATCTGTTCATGATGCTGCCAAGGAGGGCTACGAGACCTACAAAAAGGGCGAGGCTGGCGTTGCCGTCAATGGAGCAGCCAAATAGATTTGGATCGGTTGGTTTTGCGATGACGAAAGCGTGACAGGAATGATAGACCACTAAAGATAGATGTGGAAAAAAGTATGGATTGAAATGCTAAAGGGCGATATCTGGCACCAGGCCTAGCGAAAGCACATGCAGTCAGATCTAGTGAAATGCATCCTCACTTTACAAAGTGACACATTCCGAAGTCACATCGCGACGAAATCTTCGTGTGGACTCTCATCTTCCCTTCGTCAAAATCAACGTCGGACAACCAAGATATCAGCTGGCAGTAAAGCGCCTCGACACAATGAAGGCGCGCCTTAAGAGAGTCCGGTAAGCTCATTGTTTACGCTACAACAACAGAAAGTACCCGGCTATACTTGATGAATTCAGTCCCGGCTCTTCATCTACCACGATACGAGTACTGTCCTGGAGTGCAAAGCATAAGGCGAGCGGACACGGTAGCTGGAGAAGAATGCAGATCTACAGAGGTGATCCTGGCATGCACATCTCTGTGAGCAATGGAACCGATGAGTTCGGCTCATTTCTTTGCACCGCAGCTACGATCGTGGAACGGGTGCTCAAGAGGGTGCAAAGGCGGTTGAGGCGTCGGTGACCGTGAAATTACGGGACCTCGCAAGCGAGAGCGATGTCAACCTAGAAAGCAGCTCGCAACTCAGAAATGATCTATACGTGGGACTTCCAATGCATGAAATCAGAGAAATTATAGGGTAGATCGTCGAGCGAAGCATCAGGCTCGAGGACGACCCAGGGGACTTTCACATGCATCGGCGTCATTCAAAGTCATCCAGGGTGATCCCTTGGCACACTGGTGAAAATGATGTTGATGGCTTACTTCACACGCATTGAGGTCTACGGTGATAGAGAGCCTCGTGTCTGATAAGAGTCACACTCTAGGGAGCAGTAGTACATTCTGCTGCAGAACCAGCTCTGGTACTCCAACAGAGCGAGTCTGAATACGTCCTCGTCTGAAGAGCTGAATGACTTCAACCCACTCTTCTACGACACTGATCGGGCAATATTCTACCGTTCTCCGTTTGAGATTACGACATTAACGAGTCCATGCCTTGACGCAGAGACCTGGATTAGTGCTAAGGATATACTGAAGGAGTGCAAGGGGAGTTGGAGACGGATGCGGCTCTTTGGGTTCGATGCACGATCCAGGAAGGTCCAAGTCTATGGCTTGGGTGGTAAAGCTCGTAAATCTGCTGTGATTGCATTCGAAGTTGAGGGTGGCGTTACAGCGGGAGAGTTGATCAGTATCCTGCGGAAGTGGCTGAAGGAGCATGCGAACCAGAGCAATGGTTCAATCTGGGAGCCATGAGGTCGAACAATATCGTGTCGAAATCATGGCCTCTGTCGAGAGAGCAGGATCTTGTATTCTAGTGAGGCGACGTATGCTTGCTTCCAGAACAGGACATCACGGCAATACGAACACTCTTCCGGAGTGAGCGAAGGAGAGGTTGGAGAGCGATACTGGACTATCAGTCTTTGAGATGGGCTGAGCGACGGTATCGTATGTCGTTGTGGTGCGGATGAAGTCGGTAGCTCGGCGGTACCTGCAGAAGCTCTGGTGGGGGCATGATGATTACGTCATCACGATTTCAATATTATTGCCGCCGTACACAACTCCCATGGGTCATGGTCAATGTAGCACTTTCTCTTCCTCCTCTTTATAAATCTGAGTCTTGGTCTCCTCTGCGGGATCACAACTCCTGCAAAAAACGAATATGGCCACCACAGAGAGCTCGCCCGATGTGCCCAAGGGCAAAGGCCACAAGTAAGTAATCAACTCGATCTCCAACGTAGAGGCAGACTCTGGTGTCCAGGTCGCGGACAGCACCGTTGCTTTGACCGTTGTATTTGGAGCGATATCGAGCTCTTGCTAAGATGTGCAGACACTTCGTTCCTCTCGAAAACAATCCAGAAGTGATGACCTCCCTCATGCACAAACTCGGCCTCTCGCAAGACCTCGCCTTCCACGACGTCTGGTCAATCGACGACCCCGATCTCCTCGCTTTCATCCCTCGCCCAGCACACGCACTCCTCCTCGTATTTCCAGTAAGCGACACATACGAGAAATTCCGCCGAGAAGACGACGAAAATCGGAACCAATACGAAGGCTCAGGATCTGGGGAGGAAGTGATATGGTACAAGCAGACGATTGGCAACGCATGCGGCTTGATTGGATTATTGCATGGAGTGTCGAATGGCGCGGCGAGGGGCAGAATACAGGAAGGCACGGATCTCGACATTTTGGTTAAGAAGGCTGTGGATCTGAAGCCGAAGGAGCGCGCAGAATTGCTTGAAGAGACGGAAGCGCTTGAGCAGGCGCATCAGGCTGCTGCTGCGACGGGAGATACTGCTCCGCCAGCCGCTGAAGACAATGTGGATCTGCACTATGTGTGCTTTGTGAAGGGCAAGAACGGACACCTGTATGAGATGGACGGCAGGCGCAAGGGACCTATCGACATTGGAGCATTAGGTGAGTCGATCTACGAGGAGCGAACAAGCAGCTCTGCGATCGAGGGACGATGATGGTATCGGTGTCGCAGATCAGCTCGCCGTTTTGAGTGTCTACACATTGATCGACATGCTAATATCCTTTCAGACAGTGACGAGGACGTTTTAAGCCAGCAGGCGCTCGACAAAGGCGTTCGCTCCTTCCTCAGGCGCGAAGAACAGGCAGGAGGTGGTGACCTCAGGTTCAGCCTGATAGTACTTGCGGAATCTCTGGCTTGAACGCGACTCCACTCGAGGCCCGACGATGCGCCGGGCGAGTCTAACCCGAATTGCTGAACGACATGCCAGCCATTCGAAGCGAGACATATATCGGGGTTCTCATGACGATGATGATGGATTGCTCACAATGACCGACCACGAGAGGATCACTGGGATCGAATGTGAGCCCTGTAGATAGCTGTGCCTGGACACGAATACGATGCTGGCAGTTCGAAAGTCAGAGAGACTCCACGAACTTCGTTTCGCAGAAAAGACATGCTGAAAGCGTCAGTCATGATCTATGTCGGACGGCCGAGATCAAGGGGCAGACGGACGACGATAGACTATCTGAACCACTTGAGATGACAGCTCAATCCTGATCCTGATGAATTGTATATCTATATTTCGCTGAATCGCACGACATGAACTCGTGATTGACGCATTATGCCCGTCGCTATGCATCAAATCAATCACCACCTCCCGTTTTCCGGGCTCCGTGGCATTCTTATCTCAGCTCCTACCCTTCTGGCCCTTCCCTCCCAGCATCCGCGGGCTCGACATACAAGTCCTTATCCTCAAAAGCCCCACACATATCTCCCCAAGGAATATACTCGCCCGAATCCCTCCACGCCCCTCCTTTAGCATTCTTCCCATCCTCCGGCAACCCAAACTCATCACGACCCTTCTTCATCCCCGGAATCGCACCCCTCCACCTCACCCCATCCACCACAGAAACCAATCTCGGATCCTCTTGCGCCGCCTGCAAAGCCTTGGTATCCTTTAACAACTGCTCGGAAAACGGATGGAACCACATCCTCGGCCACCATCGATCCCGCAAACTCTTATCGCCCGTCACATGAAATAATGGGAATGCGTCTTGCGTCACGACATTCGTGCCCAAAAGCACATCAGCCCAAGAATTCTGCGCTTGTTGTTCAAGTGTAGGATTCCGTATGGCGGAAAACGGGGGATTTGATCTCCTGACATCGGATTTCAACACCCATTCGTCGATGCGAAGTTCCCGGCCTAAACCGCTCGCTGTCTCGGGAGCTCGCTGGTCTTCTTCCAAGCTTCTTAGATCTGGGTGGAGAGTTGAATGATTGAATCTCATCCATGTCAAATGGTGATCGTAAGCGGCAGCAGTCTGGAACATTTCCGTCTCATAATCTAGACAAATTCCATACTCTGTGCGTTTCCCCTCAGGGATGTCTGGGATCCGACCGACTCCTCCGCCGGGGAGTAGGTGGGGTTGATGGAAAATCTCCTCGCCTTCGCGCAGCCTCATGCGTTGGATTTCTTGTTCGGCCCAGACTTCGGCGAAATAGTATTGGTCGGAATTTCGGAATTCGTATTCGGCGTCGTATTTCCGACTCAGCATGTCGACGGTTGCGGAGAACATGTCGCGCATGTCTTTTACGGGGCCGAGGATGGTGCCGCTGTTCAGCCAGCGCGGGCGTGCGGTGTACATGTCGGTGTCGGTGTCGGGACCGAAGGCGTTTCGTGGCATGCTGGATTCTGGAACTGCCCAGGTCGCGGGATCTTCCCTGCCTTGGGGCCAGTGGATTTTGTCCGGGCCGAAGACGATAGTGTTGCGCATGGGAGGGTTCGAGGAATCGTAGCGTTGCCCTAGGATGCCTTCAATTCGGAGACGGTCGTCGTTCTTTTTGATGACTTTGAAATATCTTTGTATGATAATTTCGGGTCGGAGTTGAAGCCAGACATCGTAGGCGTCGAGGATCAGGACCAGCTCGTTGTCGGAGGATGGAGGGAGTGACCTCAGGTATGTGAGTGTTTCGGTGATTTTGAATAAATGGCTTTCAGAGCCATTGTACATTCCTCGGCCATCCCACCCAATGAAGATGGGATCTGGATAGCCTGTGACTGCGGCGGAGAGAAGAAGTCGGCAGAAGTTCAGGTTCGGACCTGTGGCCGGCAGCAATAGGTGAAGCTTATTCGACCTCGAGGCTGAATTCATGTATGACAGCGAGGCATCCTTGATTGTGGTGAAGTGGTAGCCAAAGAAGAAAGGTGCCAGGAGGACAGTGATGGCGACGGCCGTCAAGAACATGAAGCGTTTGATCGCTATCATTCTTGTCGAAAGGACTGGGGGTGTTCGGGCGGTGCTAGGTTAATGATACGAAGGGGGATCCTCGTAAAGGTTGTTGGCTCAACACGTGCGTTCGTCAGGATCCAGGTTCGCGCGCGCGTACTGTGGTCCGAGATTCCCGTTTGCAGGGCGGGCCGATGTGTTCAGTGCTTTCGAAAGCGAATGACGTGGTTGTAGACACTGGAATGTGGTTAAGTTGTCGTATGTATCTGCAAGCAAGCCAGCAAACGCGAGAGATTGAGATTCAGGGTCGCCGGAGTAGGCTCTGACGATGAGATGCCTGAGGCGATGGAAACTGGCCCCAGCAATTGCGAGTGCGAGATTTGGCTTCTATCGCATGAAGTCAATTGCGCTTGATGATGAAGTATCCGGAGTGCCGGAGTATGTGGTCACACCAGGGTGCGGGCGAGTGGCGACGTGGAAGAGTTTGGCAGGGCAAGGCAAGGGTCGGAGCAAGCGAAGAATGCAGTCAGACCTGCGCAGGCAATCCCTGTTGGCTGTCTTGGCTGTCTTGGCTGTCTCGGCTGTCTTGGCGCCTCTTCGTGCTCTGAGGCTGCCTCTCACAGCCTCTCCGTCTTGCGCAATAATATCAAGCCTTGTGCGCCCGAGGAATGGGTGAGCCTGGTGAGGGCCTAGAAATAATTTTCGGTTGTGGCCCGGGCTCACGCGGCATGCTGCATCCTATCTCGGCACCCATCAAGGTCATTCTACATACTGTAACGGTGGTTTAACTGCCAGGACCCCCCTTTGTTGCTAGCGAACCACTTTACCGTAGTGTCTTCACACATCTCGCATCTCGCTCTACGCCATCATCATACTACTTGGACCATCAGAACCTTGCCCTTGCTCTCCTGTAACCGCTGTAGGATCTTGCTTGCATATCGGCCGGTCGGCTCCCCTCTATGCCCGCCTCGTTGTCTCTGCTTCGTCACTCTTCTTGACTAGTTAACAGTAGCTTACCGATGAAGCCCGCAACACAGATCCTAGCGCGCGCATGGAACTGGTGGTCGTCAGCCTTGCTTAGCCACTGTGATACGGTATTTTGTTTTGTTACAGTACGGGTAGTCTGTATTCTGCCAACAGATCTGTTTAAGCGAGGTGGGGCAATTACGTCTTTCCCGCCAAGACCCTGTTTTGCTATATTATCTCGCTTAATTTCCGGGCCTCGCGTATAGCCTGTTCTCTACTAACAGTACTGCTAACACATATCGTCGATTAGTCGATATATTAATAAAGCTAAAGTTTATATATAGTATAGCCGTTATATTACATTCTAAGGTGTTGCTATCTGCGCCTACCTATTACTTATTCTCGCTACCTCTTTCTCGCTTGCTTACTGTCGCTATTACTAAATAGCGACTAGTATAGCGACTAATATAGGATTATCTTCTCGAGCGCGTATATATAGATATTATAGCGTAGACCTATTGCCCTATTAAACTCGATAACCTATAGATCGAGTGCTTAGTACTAAGGTCGACCTACGCTATAAAATAAGCCTACTAGAAGACCTATTAGAAACGGTAACTCGCTTAGTATTAGCGCCGCTATATCTCGAAAACAAGGTAGTATAGTATAGACAACGTGTCTACGAGGCGTGTGTTATAGGTCTCGTATTATAGCAGTTGCCTCCTTATTAGACTACTCGCTTGTCGCTATTATAGTATCTATTCTATCTCTTGCCGCTAGCAGGTTGTCTATATTGTCCTTATCTATCGTATTAATATCTTCCGTCTCTTCCTCTTCCGCGCGTATATCGAAGACTGTCTCCGGTATATAGGCTGTCTCGTCGGCGGCTTACTACGGCGGCTATTATTATAGTTATAAGAACTCGTTAATAGATAGAAGTAACGATATTCTTACTGCCTCGGCGGTATAATTAGACGATAGCTAGTTTATAAAGGAACGATATTATAGCGCTAAGAGTCGCGTTCTTGCCTCGTCTAACTTCTTATAGAAGTTAACCTTAACGTTCTTAAGAAGCGAGTATAGTTGTAGGTAATTAGTCCGCTCGAGAGCGCCTATATTGTCGCTATTGCGCCGAGACGGAAGAAACACCTTATCGTTGTTCTTAATAGCTAGCATAATCGCCTATTGCTATTTATAGTAGATACTAGTCGCTTTAAGGCTACCTGCCTCTTTAAACCGCCGTACGTAGGTCTTAGCAACACCCTTACTAATAGGGTTGTCTTTAAACTCGGCATTAATCTAGATATACTAGCAAGGTAGATAATAAGTCGCCTAGAAATAGCATATACACTCTACTAGCAGGTCGTGGATCTCGTAACGCTCAAATCGGCTCTATTATAGTATACCGAGTTTAACGTAAGCTAAAGCCTTCGAGTACTGCTTAGCTAGAAGGACCTAGACTAAATATAGCAGTTGCTAGAAGACCTCTATACTACTAATAGTGCGTCGGAAGAGAGGTAATTACTAGCTCTTATTAGCCGCCTTAATAGCTCTATTGTGCTACTTCTTATTAGTCTCAATTGCGTAGACAATAATGCTAGAGAGCGAGAAGTTAGCCTTAGCTACCTTCTTAACTTTAGCCTTGTATTTAGAGTGCTAGCCTTTAACGGGCCCGGTAGTGCGGTTCTGTACGAAGGTTAGCAACTAGTATACCTATATAGGAAGAAACGGCTAGTTTTACCTATATAAGCAAGGGATTGTCCCGCCTTAAGTAAGTATACTATATGCTAGCGTACTAGAAACCCTATTCCTTCCTTAAATAGCTAGCTAGAGGGTCGTTATTGCCTCCTAGCAAAGCCCTCTCGGCATTAGCAAGCGCTTAAATATACTCTTTATTATTCTCAACGTTATAAAGTGCCCTTAGCAAGCACCTATAGACCTTCTTATATAGTAAATTTAGTAGAAACTTCTTCCGAATAATCTCTAACTAATAGCGCTAATAAAGCCTTAGTTAGACCTCTAGAAACACGGTTGTAATAGCCGCTTGCTCGCTAGCTAAGTCGTTAGTTACTGTCTATTATAGTAACTAGCCGCTAATCTCGCTATAACCGGCCTAATAAGCTAGGTGTCGAAGACCTATAGCATATATAACACTATGCTTGCTTTCTAAGGCTATATAAGCTACAGGTCGCTATTTTAGATAGTCGTTAGGTACTATAAGGTTGCAGAGATAGAAGCTAGTCTTACAGGTGTCGTATATGTCGTCTATTAGTATAATACGACTATATTTCCGAAGCAATTCAATACTAGCTAGCTCGGCAAATACAAAGCCTCTTCGGAGGCTATTAGGAGTTATTATTCCGAAGCTATAGAAGTGTAGACCTAGCTTAGTAGCCTTGTTATAAGCGGCCTCTAATTAGACTGGAATATTGCCTCTTATTTACTATATAACTTGTCTCTTGTTACGGTTGTAGTATAGCGAAGAACGACCTAGGTTGTAGGCGTCTTAGTACGCGTTTTAGCTACTAAATAGTCGCCTGCTTCTAAGTTGTCTATTCAAGGCATTGCTAACACGGTTAACAACGCGTCTAGCTCTCGGAGAGTTGTTTATATTAGTCTTAATTATATTCCGGACGTATTTGTTCAACTTCCGGCTATTAAGAAGGTCTAGGTCGTATGTATGTCCGCTATCGAATTAGCCTCTCGTAATATATACAGGTTCTTATCGAACACCTTCCAGCCGATATATTGTTATAATAAAGGACACTTTATAGGGCGCAACTAGCTTGAATTTAGGCTTCTAACGTTGTCTAACAAAGGTCTCTTCTTTAGAGGCGCTCTCGTCCTATTTTTCCTTGCTTTTGCCCTTACTATTACTATTACGTCGTCGTTTAATATAGCCGAAGTACTACTTCTTAGTTATCCGGCCTTATATGTCTAAACCCTTGCCTAAACGCGATACAATCGTACGCGAGTACACATTGCTTAAAACAGCCTACATCGTTTCCTATTGCGATAGGGAAAGTTCAAATAGTTTAGTAAGATTAAAGAACAGTTACCGAAGTCGTTCTAGCTCCGTAATATCGTCTATTATAGTAGTATGCAGTATATTACAAAACGAGAGGTTTAGGATTTCCGCTTGCTTAGTGTAGGTATACTAAGCTTTATCTCGAAATACGCGAAGCCCGGAAATTAAGCGAGATAATATAGCGAAACAGGGTCTTAGCGGGATCTACGTAATTATACGGGAAGCCCTACCTCGCTAATCGAGGTGTTAGCAGAATACAGACTACTATAGTACGCGGCACGCCTACTCCTGCCGGCCGCGTACTCGGACCGACTAGCCGGTACAACCCTTAGCCTAAGCTTAGCGTAGAAAATCCTTTTCTCTATAGCAGTATAGTGCCGCTTACAAGCGAGTTCTACGGGATACATAGATTAGGTTAGCTAATTAGTAGTCGCGCTCCTACTACGAGTACTAGCTAATAAAGAATATCGGAAACACGCTACTAATCTCGAATTTCCCCTTATACTTATCGACTACTATCTCTAACTAATAAGGGTACGTTTACTTATAGTCGGTTTTCTCGTTCCTATAGGTTTAAAACCAACCCTCTTTTTAAGAACCTATTCGTTTACCTTATAAACCGGCAAAAGGAATCGGAATAGGGGTGCGTTTACTTATAGTTAGTTTTCTCGTTCCTATAGGTTTAAAACCAACCCTCTTTTTAAGAACCTATTCGTTTACCTTATAAACCGGTAAAAGGAATCGGAATAGGTATACCTAAGCTAAGCACGAGCCTACTACTATTGTCCGAGCGCGGTATGCCTAGATAGGCAGGTAATAGGTATAGATTTCTATACCTACTTAGAATCGAGGATTTTACTACTATTATTAGTAATAGCGTATCTACCTCGTATCTCGTACCCTTGTCGAGCCCTCTTTATAGGCGTCTTTACTATTATAACGACGGACAAGAGTTAGAAGTAATATAACAATAGACAAGCGATAGCAATAACAGCGATTGTTAGTAATAATAGTAGTAGAATACCGTTTTTTTCTAGGTAACGCGACGCGACAAAGTAGTATTCAAAATTAGAACAAGTACGGATATCGCCGATGCCTCGGAAACCCCTATTCCTATCCGTTTACTAAGAAAACCCGGTTTTTACGATATTCCGAACATGCGGAAAATCTATTCTCATTCCGACTAGGAATTCCTATTCCTGCAGCAGGTAAACGCACCCTGAATCATCAAGCTCGTCGGTTCATCTCATCAACACCATCCACACGCCCTATTCAACGCGATTGCCGCATTAATCCAGCTCACCAGCGGAAGCCGATACGGTGTTCTTAGTGCTCAAGGCTCGCAAAATCGCCAGACTCCCATTACCACCCTGATGATAGGTATGCGTGATGCATGCAGCATCTCACCGCACGCCTCAGCCACAGCGAATGTGAAACTGACCGCGCGTTCTCGCGTGCTCAGCGAATCCACCTCCACCTGGAGAAGCTAGCGTTGTGGATCAAGAATTTCGTGATTTTTCGACTACAGCCGTCTTGCACGACTGCTTGCTTTGCCGATACATTCCACTGTGAATCCGATGTTGGCGAGCTTCTCGCTGTCGATGACATTGCGTCCGTCGAAAATCAGACGCGGCCGCTTCATGCTTGCCGCAAGTTGTGCCCAGTCAACGCGCTTGTCTGCCGGAGCGACACTGTTCTCCTGCTCAATGAACTCGGTGCGCTCAATCGGAGCAGGCGTGCCCACGCCACTGTCCTGGAAATCACTGCCTGATGAGCTGGATGGCGATGTGGATCGCTTGTGGTCAAGAACAGCGCCAGACATCTTCGCATCATGTGGAATCTTGTCGGTTTTGAACTCGTCCCACTCGGTCAGAATGACCACGGCACTGGCATCCGCGCAAGCTGAGAGAGCATCAGGGTAGACCTGTACACGCTGCTTGACGACTTCCGCAGGATGCTCGCGATTCAAGTCTTGCTGAATCTGTGCTTCTGAGACTTGCGGGTCGTAGATGGCAATCTTTGCACCTTCCGCAATGAGCTGCCCGACAATAGTAATGGCAGCACTTTCTCTAGTGTCGCCGGTGTTCTTCTTGTAGGCAAATCCCAGAATTGCGATCTTCTTGAGTCGAAGAGTGTTGTACAGTCGTGTGGTGATTCGCTTAGCGAATCGCTCCTTCTGATACTCGTTGATGTCGACAACCGACTTCCAGTACGCCGACACTTCAGGCAGATGGAGCGTCTCGGCAATGTACGCCAAGCTAAGTACATCTTTCTTGAAGCATGATCCACCAAATCCAGCGGATGCCTTGAGCATCTTTGGTCCAATTCTGGTGTCCTGGCCTACAGCGAAAGCGAGTTCTTCGATGTTAGCTCCAGTAGCTTCGCAGATCGCGCTCAAGGAATTGATGCTGGAGATTCTCTGAGCCAGCATACAGTTAGCCGCAAGCTTAGCAAGCTCCGAAGACCACAAATTAATGGTAATGATTCGATCACGAGGCACCCAAGCAGAATAGACGTTGGCGAGGGCCTCTGCGGCGGCTCGTGAACGTTCATCCTTTTGCGATCCGATAAGAACTCGATCCGGTGCAAGCAGGTCGTTAATGGCAGTCCCTTCAGCCAAGAATTCTGGGTTGGACAAGATCTCGAAATGGACGTCAGGCGAGGCGTGAGCGTCAAGAATTTCTCGGATGTTGTCAGCCGTTCCGCATGGTACTGTGGACTTCTCGACGATAATCTTATCGCTGGTGGCGACTTCTGCGATATGTCTAGCAGCAGACTCGACGTAAGCAAGATCCGAAGCTCCGCCAGCACCAAGACCTTCAGTCTTGGTTGGCGTGTTGACAGCAATGAAGATCAAGTCGGCTTCGTCGATCACCCTCGAGATGTCTGTGGAAAAGAGCAAATTTGGTGTCAAGCGACCATCTTTGCAGTCGCGCGCAACTTGGACGACTTCGTAGAGACCTGGTTCGTATATAGGCAAGGCCTCTGATCTCCAAGCTCCAATACGAGCTTCACTGAGATCGACAACGGTCACAGTGATGTCTGGATTCTGTTTTGCTATCACCGCACTGGTGGGGCCGCCCTACGCGAATGATGTGTGAGCGATGTAAGGCACCATACTCGCTACCGATTGCCAACTTACGACGTAGCCGGCACCAATGCAGCAAATGTTCTTGACCGGTCGCTGAGTGAGCTTGTCGACGAATGTGGCTGCCATCGTGTCGACGAATGTGATGCTATTGAGTCCCAGGATAGTAGTAGGCAAAAGATGTAAGCAGAAGTCAATGTGCGACTCGGAATGTTCTTTGCCCGTGGTCGCTGGGGGGTAGTGAGACGATGCGAACTCAGGCGTGGACACGGTGAAGTTTGATGAGCGCCACTCTATCAGAAGCGAACATGTGCAGGCGCCATGTATCAGGGCGATGGACGGGCGGGGTTGTCTCATGGTGCACAGGACGGTCAGGGATGTGCAAGCGTTCTGTTGGAAGCACGCCACAGGTGCGGACAAGGCCCGTGCGCGGTGCCCAGCCACCTGCGCGCCCGCGCCCCCGGCGTGAAACTCGGGCATCTGCAGGTGGCGGCGAATGCAGAAGTCCAAGCGCCGCGCAGCAAGGAGTCTCTCTCGTCAACGTCGCACGCGGCTGATGTGGCATCGCATGATGGAGGTGCTCCTCGAATCATCGGCGTCCAAGGCACCGCACCACCCGTAGCTAAGCGTGAGCTTTCTTGGCTGAACGGCAGCAACTCCTCCCGTTACTGATTAATAATTATACCGGCTGTGCTTGGCGAACATGTGCACAGACAGAATTTGTATGAGCGAACGATCTCATCCGTCGAGTTTTCAAAGGGATCCACCGTCCCACGTTTGCGATGACGTCGAGGCCAACATTCTCTCCAGTCCGACTTGGCCAGTCCACGCTTGAGCAGTGCATCGACACACATGGACGAGAAGATGGAAGACCGCCGGTCGATGGAGTCCGGCAGCAGATCGACGTCGAGCTCTGCCAGCGGGGAGAATCACGAACTTCTAAGCAAAGACGAACGCCGTGACCGCGACCTGGAGTCGCAAGCACCAGATGCCGCAAAGGAAGAAGCACCACCTGTGGAATACACCACGAGCACGCTCAAGAAACTGCTCTATCTGGGCCTCTACTTCCTTCTCAACCTGGCAGTCACATTATCAAACAAAGCTCTCCTGAGAAAAGTGAGCATGCCCTCTCGGCATCCCAGCCTCGACGTCTCTGGCTGACGCGATATCAGGCTTCGTATCCTTGGCTTCTAACATTCTCTCACGCCTTCAGCACCAGCATTGGCTGCTCATTGCTCCTGGCGACGGGCCAGATGAAGCTTTCCAAGCTCACAGTACGCGAGAACTTGACTCTGGTAGCTTTCTCCACCCTCTTCACTTTGAACATCGCCATCAGCAATGTATCGCTGTACGTTTATACCAAACTTGCAGCCATGGTAATGGTCACCTGACGAACATCCTAGTGCTCTTGTTTCCGTTCCCTTCCACCAGGTTGTGCGCTCAACAACTCCAGTAGCCACGATTCTGATCTACAGAGTCGTCTACAATCGATCATACTCACGCGACACCTACATCTCGATGATTCCACTCATTCTTGGTGTCGGCCTGGCCACATTTGGTGACTACTATTTCACCGCAATGGGATTCAGCCTGACCTTTCTTGGCGTCATCCTCGCTGCGATCAAAGGTGTAGCTACGAATCGCCTGATGACAGGCTCTCTCAAGCTGCCCGCCATGGAGGTCCTCTTTCGAATGTCTCCTCTTGCTGCGCTGCAATGTCTCTTATACGCGGCTGGCAGCGGTGAGATTACGAAACTGCAGGCCGCCTCGACAGGCCTCCTCACAACCAGCTTTCTCATCGGCATCACTGCAAATGCTCTCATGGCATTTGGCCTCAATCTTGTCTCTTTCCAGACAAACAAAGTAGCTGGAGCTCTCACCATATCGGTCTGCGGCAATGTCAAGCAATGCTTGACCATCATTCTCGGCATCATTCTGTTCAACGTGCGAATAGCGCCATTGAATGGATTGGGCATGTTGGTGGCAATGGCAGGAGCTGCGTACTACAGCAAAGTCGAGTTTGACCGAAAGAAGGCCTCCAGCACTTGAGGGTTGCTTGCGTTTCCGTGCGCGTACTGTTCAGCCACGATACCCCTATCATAATGGCGTTGTCTTGCATTCAGCCCAGTAGTAGTGTAAAGATCCAATGAAGCACCGCATCGCGTGCGTCGTCGAACAGCATCCGGGCCAGAGACTTCTCAAGCCACTTCTTATCCCCAACGATCATCATTGGGTGGGTGACGGGGGCTAGTTATGGTGCGATGAGCCAAAATGGCCCTAGCTCAGGACAAGCTTGGCACTATTTCTGCTCATCCCCAGCTAATCTCTCTGGGCCATCTATGGTGGCACCCGGCGTCCTTGATCTTTATTAATCTTTCACCACCGTCCGATAGTCTGATCGACTACCAGACAAGATGAGATTGCGAGGATCTGCAAGGCGTTCAGCCTTGGACACCCACAAAAAGAGGTGTGAAGACTATCAGACTAGATGAGATTGCGAGGATCTGCAAGGCGTTCAGCCTTGGACACCCACAAAAAGAGGTGTGAACTAGTAGAACTCCCGAGTACTGCATGACGTCCAAAGGCCGCGGGCCTCGCAAGTCAAAATGTCTACTGCAAGGCACCATACTGTAGCTTTGGCAGTGAGAGATCGATCACTTAACTTCATACATTCCACGGCGACCCTCGGATACAAACGCTTATCGTCATGTGTATGGCGCTACTATGAGACTTCTAAGCTTCCCGCCTACCTTGCGTGAGGCTGTTGAGCTTCACATACAACGACTGCAATTGAGACAGCTTAACCTGGGGAGCGAGGACACAGATCAGCTTCTTCGTAATGAGAAAGAAGTTCCGGCCCACCTACCGCAGCATCGACTGCTGAACCACCAGACCAAACGGACTGGCGTAATTGTGTTCATTGCTGGCCTTCTCTTGATCATTCTTGCAGCCTCGTACCCTGCTAAGCGCTTATCGTCAACCTCAAAGATCCACATACCTGGGACAAAATATTCTCCAGGGCAACCCAACGCCGAGGATCATTATCTCCAGATCATATTGCCGACTCGATTGAACACGACAGAATCGTGCAAGACTCTGCTGACCGGAGCCGTCCTCAACTACCCTTCTCCATGGGTGGTCAACTGGCAGGAAAAGCATGAGTGGCAGGGCAATGCGGTTGACCCAACCCTAGCCAAACTCGAGAGCATCTTCAATCTGCTGAAGAATAAAAGCCCCAAGCACGAGAACGATACTGCGGTCGTTCTTGCGAATCCGAATACTTGGTTCCAGCTCCGACCAGAGGTGCTAATCAGTCGATACTGGGATCTGCAACACGAACAAGCACAGTCTCTGAAGAAGAAGTTTGATGAGACCACCCTTCGAATGGGAGGTATCGAGCCTAAGGTCCTAATCACTGCTCAAAATGCCTGTCAATCGATGCACTCCGAAGGCTCAGGCTGCATCGCATTTCAAGCACCGAACAAGTCACCTCGCTACATCAGTCACTTCCTATTGATTGGCAAACTCTCCGATCTCAGGATAGTCTACCATCATGCAGTCGCTCGCGCCAGAGCCGCTCTCGCTGCCAACGAAGCTATAGACGAACACAGCATTTTCGCCCATCTCTACAGCCAGCAAGAGTCGCACAGAAAATCGCTTCCCAAACGCGCAGCGATAGAGCAAGAGCTACATCACGATCACGAAACCTATCGAAAAGACTTTGGTCTCTACGCAGAGTTCTCCGGCTCCTTATCATACACAGCGAGCTCGAATTCCCTCTCAGACGAGGCAATATGGGTCCACCACGACCCTCTCAAAGGCGCCTCCAAGAAGTCTTTACCCAAAGACATCTCCACTTCGCCTCCACCATTCTGGACCATCTTCGGCTCCAACCCCAAATGGTCCTCTCGGCCCTGGACATCAGTTCCCTTCCTGATGAACAAATCCGCCAAAAAAATCCCTGTCCTCATCCAACGCGCCGAGGACGCTGCGCCTTCTTTCGCGAGCATATGGTATGAGAAGCTATGGTTCCATCCTCACGGACGAGAATTATTGGATCATTATGCGTTCACTTCCTATATTCCTTCTGCGATCTTGAAGGATAAGTGGAGAGGGGATCAGGAGATTCGATTTTGGCCTCCGGTTTTTTCGAAGCCGGGTTTCACGACGGATGATAATAAGTTTCAGAGGTGGGCTAATAAGAAGGGTGAGGGCATTTGTGGGAAGGATGTTGCGGATCCTGAGCAGATTTTTCTTGATGGGAGCGGTGCGTGGTTGGATCCTAGGCCGTGAATTTTCTACGCACAAAGTTCTTTTGCGAAGTGTTTCGTGTATCGATGGTTTGATCGGCTCTGATCCTCTCCACAGCAATCGCCTTCTCCCTTTCACCAAGAAACTTCGCCCTCATAACGTTATCTGGCAAGAAGAGTCCCACAGCAAAGCCCATAGGATGGAAGTTCGTCTGAGCGTCATGAACTACTGCCTCCAATGATGCCCACGAGCAATGCTACCGATTCCATGTCCACTCTGTCCAATCGAGATGATCGTCGATCAATTCGTATACATAAACCCAGTGCTCAAGGCCTGTTCATGCCTCGTGTACCACATCGAAGGTATAAGATATCCACCAGGAATGATCGGTGCATCAAGTTCTCAGAGCAAGACTCGGAGGAAATTAAAGACAGGAAATGATCGCACGAATGCCGGGCCAATGAGAACACAACCTCAGAATCGCAGCTATATCTTCACCGTCCGCAAGGACTTCCTTTGCGCCTTCCAGAAGAGCTTCCCGAGTACATATTCTTGACGATGGCCAGCCTCGCTGCAGAGTGAGTAGAAGGCTTCGAAGTTCCTTTCTTGATAGCCCTGTTCTCGGGAATTGCGGTACAAGAAACTAGCTATGGCAACTGATAAACACGGCAAGGGGACTACCTCGTCGATGCGTTCAGGCATTCATCTTGCCCAAGAAACAAAACCAGGTGATGTGCTTACCAATGGCTGCAGTGAAGCTCGCAATTGGCCAGTCGACGCAAAGACTTTGTCCTTGTGGCATGTGATAATGGATTCGGCCTAGAAGCATGTGAGTAAGTGAAGTGAGCAAGGCTCCGGTCAATATTCATGTCTCACTATTTGAGCACGTGCAGTGCCTGCTCACTTCTTGATTGACTGCTACGACCTGCGCTGAAATAGTCTTGCGTGCAAATTGACTAGACACCGCTCGTCAGCAGATCGTACGCCAGCAGCACAGGAGCCAAGCATGGCTGTTCAAAGAAACAAGCCGATCAAGCAGCGTCCACGTTCGATCGTAAGTCGAAAAATCAATCTGGTCCAATGCCTTGCCTGGAACCTGATATCTTTAGATCTCTTCCAAGACCTCCGCCAATCGTCAAGACCAGCATGCACTTACCAAGAGCTACCAATACTGTCACAAAGTCATCAACACGGCAGAACTGCTCGAGATGATCCTGCTTGCCTTCTTCACATCAGAGAATGCCGACGTAGCAGCACAGAAGGCCTTGTTAAAGATCCAAGAGGTCGGCCGTGTCTTTCAAGACGCTGTCAAGAGCTCTGTCAAGCTGCAAAGAAACCTGTGCTTTCTTCCAGATCCGAGCAAGAGACTGTACAGCGGCGAACCCTTCGTCGCGCCCTTGCTTTTGCCATACGAGTCCTCGAAGATCCACCGTCCAATCTTTAGCTTCGTATACAATTCCTCTTCTTCACCTTTCCGACCTAGCTCTGGAGCCGCCTTTGCAATCAAGATCACAGAAAAGCGCCTTGCGCCGAAGGAGGCCGAGAGTTGGCAGAAGATGCTGGTGATGCAAAATGCCAAGGATGTCTACTGGGTCACTGTTGCGAGGCTGCCTTTCTTGGGCCTGATCCCTAAGCATTCCGTTGATGTCAAGTGCGGCCCCGACACGACAGCTGGAGAGCTAATGCGACTGGCGAGGGAAAAGTTTTGGAACAATGGGATTCGAGATATTGATGTGGGCCGGGAAGGAAGAGAGGAGTTTGAGACGGCTGGTGGGCGTGAGAACAATGCGATCGTGTTGTGAGGTGGCTGATGGTTGGGAATATATATCTTGAATTTCCTCCAATGGTATCTTTGGGCAAAAGCATCTTCGACAGAGTCTTTGGTCTCGGCCTGATCTTCCAGACCACAAGATGAAATTCATGACCACTCTTGCTCGTATAAGACGCCGACGGCTCCTCACAATTCGAATGACCGTCTGAGCTCGCCATGCGACTACCACAGTCTGACGAGTCCATGGCGCTTCGCATTCAAATGCGGTAGATTCTGTCCCGAATACGAAAATTCATTCCGAATCCCTTGTTTTACACGTAGAACTGACTGTATTCATACCTCCAGCCCTAATCAAGTACCAGTCCAGTCCAGGCTGACGCCGAGGGCTCCCTGACCGTCACCGTCACTGCCAGCACGGAAGAGCTTCCCGGCCACGACTTTCTTCACCTGGCGCATTTGAGGCGGCGGGATTTGTGGCATCGTCAAATAACAACACCGTGACCACGTCCGGGTTCAGAGTGTTCGGCAACCAGCTAGTGTGAACGAAAGACTCTGGCGAGTTGGAGGAACTGTGGTAGGCTGAGCCGACAGATCCCCTGTGAAAACTCGTCGCCATCCGGCGTTCGTCGGCTAAACAGGGATCAACCCCTATAGTGTCCACTTAGTTAGTATATAGAAGCCGCTCTATAGGTGAATGAATAGGCCTTAATTGGACTCGGTTGTAGGTACGTTAAACCCCTTCGAGTAGCTTAGCTATTGCCGCCGCTATCGGCCTCTATATATAACTTAATTATCTTTATATTTCTAAACTTAATTCTGCTAAGAAGTATATAACAATAGCGAGCTTCTAGGCCTTCGTAGAAGATAGTTATAACGACGATAAAGGTAATAATTAGCTAGATATATCTACTAGTTTAATAGACGACGATAAGTTAAATACTAATTAGCTAACTAGAGGAAGAGAGCCGATATTTAAGAAGGTAGGAAAACCCCTACTAAGCGGTATAGATAATAAGGGTTTAGTAGTCGTAGAAGGGAATAATTGTAAGAAGGGTATATTAGTAGGTAGATAGGGTAGTAGTAGGTATAGGTAGTATTCGATAAGGAACTAGAAAGAGAGAGAGGAAGGCGGGCAAGTTAGCCTACTACTAAGCGCTAAGCCCTGCCTAAGGCATTAAGACCCTAGCTTTACTCGAGCCTAGTTATATGCTAATTACGTATAACCTCTTTAGTCCTAATATACGCTTCCTTTCTAAAGGCCGCGCCCTCGTAGCCGGTCTTTGTTCTAATCTTAACCTCTATCGCTACTAACTTAGTAGATCTAATAAGCCGCTTAGTCCGCGCTAAATTAAACGCTTAACTACCTAATTATATAACCGTATTAAACCTTACCTCTAATATAATGTCTAACTTCTAACTGCGCTATTACTACTGCTATAGTAATAATAAGGTGTTATATAGCTATATAAATTAAAGGCTAGCAACTAATTACAATACGAGCGTACCTTCCCTACTATAATAGGTAGGTATACAGGGTATTGTAGCACTGCCCCCGTTCTAAGTAAGGTTGTCCGAGTTCTTTGCGTCTACTCTTAAAAGACCTAGAAATGTCCGCTCCGAGGGTTTATCTGTTTCCGAGGGATTGTTCTTATTATTACGAGGACTATTATTATTCGTAGTTTCGCTAGCCCTAGTTAGTTAGGTTTAGTAGCCTTTAAGTGTTAATCTTATCTTATTTTTTTAAAAAAAACACGGTTCGTCCGGTTTCTATAGGTAAAGGCTATTATAAGTATAGTAGTCGAGGTTCGCCTCGCTTAAAGAGTTAGAAAGATCGAGAAGTAACTTATTATCCGTAAGATCGACCCTAGCTAGCTTAGCTCATAGGT